GTTTGAAGGGACTGATAACAAGGCCATGGCGATGGGGTTCTAAAGTATTGATACTACCATGGCAAAAACCAGAGAGAAATATGGAGTGAAAATTCAGAGGGGATTTCAGTTAAATCAATGTCCTCTGTTTTCATAATCTTACGACTCTTTTCTTGATGGGGATACAATTTGTTACAAAAGAATAGAAGGATAACATATTGTTATATACTGTGTTAAAACTTGGTTAAAGATGAATTTTCCTTATTCTTTCAAGTTTTACAAGTATGATGAGTTATAGTCAAAGTGTTCCATTCTTTTTTTTGATGAATAAGAAATGCATTAATCAATCAAAAAAGTGTACAAAGAGGAATCAACAATAGGATGCCCACCATCACAAAAACAGACAATAGGAATAATATTGAGAGGGACATGCCCATCCCAATTTGAAACACGGGCCCATTGGACCAGATGGTGGGCTGCAAAATTAAAATCTCTTAATCTCATCAATCAGCACTTTAACCCCCCAGAATACAATATCATCAGAGCAATGGAGGAGCCAAATAGCAATGAGACTGTCAGATTCAATGATTGAGCAGTTTGCTTGGGCAAAATCAAGAATCTTGCAGGCTTCAAGGATGGCCATACATTCAGCCATAAGAGCATCAGAACAAAGGTGTTTCTTGGTGTTGGCAAAAATGATCGAGCCATTCTCATTCCTGATAATGCAGCTGGAAAAGGAGAGATCTTTGTGAAATGAGGCATCAGTAGTGAACTTAATCCAATCTTTAGGGGGTTTTTGCCAGACTTGAGCATGCATTGATTTTGCTTGGATATGCATCTTCTGTTGACAAGTCCAGTGCTCCTTGGAGCTTTTCACCACAGTCTTAAGAATTTCCTGCAAGGTAAGAGAAATAGAACCATGAGCCACTTTATTCCTATTCATCCAAATTGTGTCAAAAAGAACAGCTGTGAAGATGATGAATTCCTCCCTCAGTGCTTGGGAAGGGAAAAGAGAATTTTTCTTGTCAAAAAGCAGAGCAAGCCACCTACTGACTGGTTCATTTCTAAAAGGATCAATTCTCAAGTTCCATTTAGAGATGAACCAGACTTGTTGGATAAGAGGGCAGTTGAGAAAAATATGGTCCACATTTTCAACAGCTGAATTACAGAAAAAACATTCCAAGTTGGGAATAGGGAAAAGTTTGTTGAGCCTGCAGTGAGTAGGAAGAAGATCCAGGATAATCTTCCAAAAAAATAATTTGTGCCTGTTATGAATTCTGAGATTCCACAGTTTAGTCCAAGGAAAAGAAGAGCTGCAAGAGTGCATATCTTACTGACCAAAAGTCAAAGTGTTCCATTCAAATGAAGATAAAAGCTTTGTATGAGAGAAGTCAGAGCTTTTAGTCATTTGTCATTTTTTTCACAAAATTCTCTTTATCTGGTTTTTGTTTTTGTTTTGTTTTTTTTTTTCTTTTTTGATGAAAAAATGAATTCAAACCCAGCACTATAAGACTATTGGGAATAGCCATAACAACCATCATAAAAAAGAGTCAACTACATGATGATGAGTATAAATATTAAAAACAATTACTGGGACTAAGAGTTGTTGATTACATCCATTTGTACTATATATATCACTCATCATCCATGCAATTATAAATTCACAGCTTCTCATCATGACTCCGATTATTATTCGAGCCAGTCATATTGTCTTTAATATCGAGTGACTTATCCTTGGCCGCTTCAAGGTTTTCGAAGATAGTGTCTTTTGCCGACTCATAAGTCTGCCCAGCTTTGTCATTAGCACCTTCACAACTTTAAATGACATTTCCTGCATTTATATGAACTGTTAATTTACAAATTCAATCAAAATTCAATGATGATGTATGAAATAAAAATGACAGAGAAACATCTTTTAGAAAGAAAAAAAAAAACAGATGTTCAACTTGCTTTGCCAAAGTCACGATTACACAGCTTCAAGTCATACTAATAAGTCTGTTCATATGTAACGTACAAAAAAGATTAAGTTTGAGTAAACTGCACACAGTAAGTCGGTAACCATATATGCAGTCTGACCAAGTAATTCATACCCTTAAGCGGTTCCCGTATTTGCAGCTGAAAAATTCCTTTCTAGGACAAGAGGACAAAACTTGTAGAAGATCACTGATGCTGAAAAACTGAAACCAATAACTAATTTAGAAACTCGCATGTGTGCCACTAGAAGAATGGCGATACATTTTCACGTATCATATCACCTCTAGCGCAGCTAGGAATTTATGCAAAGATGTATAAGAAAAATTTACAAACCTAAAGAAGCGTTAAGGTAGGCTCGACTAACCGATGTGAAAACATCCCATAAATCAACTGGTACCATACGACTAAGAAATTGAAAAAACAAAATGAACATAGAACATATCAATAACCTTGTTGTTGTTGCTATCATTAAAATTCCCGAATCATTATAATGGGCAAAGCTAGGCTCGGTTTAAAAGGCAATGAATTTTGGTTGTACTTCCCCCCTTATGGACCTCATTTGCTCTGAGACATATATTCGAACACTTTGACTACCGATATTTCAAAATTCAACCAGTATCAGAACAACTCAAAGTCCTACGAGATGATTCATTATTTTTAAGTTCATATAACCTAGGAAGTATACCTGAATCCGCCCGCCATTGTAGGGTTCCCTCGATGTTTTCTTTGGAATCTTTCAAACTAGTAGTTACAAGTGAAGAAGACCCGACTGCCCCATGGATAGTGGGAGGGGAATCCCTAAATCTCACCTTGAATATACAAAATCGCGAGAACACGACCCTAAATTAAACCATATTCCCGACAATTCCAACTTTCTTGGTTCTCTTGGCCATCGAAAAAAAGATTCAGAGGGCCGGCGAGACTATGAAACAGCGAAGAAACCTTCGATTTTGCTTAATTTCGATTTTTGGGAAGATCAATTAATTGATTATGATTATTATAATATTTTTTAATGGGGATTTTAATTAATTCATTTGAATATAGAAGGCTAATTAAGTAATTTATATAAAGTACAATGTGTGTACAAGGGGGTACGGTGTGTTTTTACTGGGTCGTACATTAATTTTCAAATCTTTAGTATCGTACTAGGTTGTACATAAAATTGATGGTTGAGATTCAATTTTAATTATTTTATACGCACCAGATTAAATATTTTACGGTCCGAGAAGTACAACCCTCTCGGACCCTAGACAACCCCTACTTTCCTTATCTATTTAGGAAAAATATCTTTGAGTCTTCTCCTTCTAACGACTCTCGTTAAGCTCACCACCTACCCCGTTTGTCGATTTGTCTCTGGCATGTTCGGATGGGCTGACGAGCTTGTTAACCGCAAGCTTCTAAAAAGACCTTGTCTTTGACGTGTATTGGGTCGATGGGCCCAATAAATCTTTTTCGGCCCATATTTTTTGTTCTTATCCTATTTAATAAGCCGAATATGGGAAATTTGGCCAAACTTGCTAAACTAATCCCCATCAGGGTTCAATATGATTTTTTTAATTTATTTGAGGATTTTTTTTTATATATTTGAGGATTTTTTTTTCTTTAAATGTTTGGGTGACTATTTATGAAACTATTGACCCAAGTAAAATATTTTCATCCCTTATTTTATTTATATATCAGCAACATATGTGTTAGTAACATTGTTAAATATGTGTAGATTTATTCAGGTTAGCTGTGAGTTTCTCCATTATTAAAAAAAGAAAAAAATATATAATTCATTATCCAAAAAAAGAAAAAAAATTGGGCCCAAATATTGTTTTGTTGATACCGTTGACTTTTTAGTCTCTTGTGTCTTAATAAGATTTGGGCCTTCACTTCTCATTGGCCCTTAATATGTTGGGCTATTTATCATTTATCAATGAAATCAGATGGACCAATTTGAAATTTATGTTTTTGTACAAATATTAATTTTTTGGGGAATGAAAAGCTGATTTTAATTCATTCTTAAGAAAAAGTTGGAATGACTTTTTGTTCTTTCGAAAATGGTAAATTTTAAATTGGAATCCGCAGATTTTATGGGTCATACACATGGTGAATATTGTTTTAAAGTGTATATTTACATAAATAAAATAACTACTCACTAAGTACACATAAATATGGATAGGGGTGATAAACGATTGAGCGGACTTGTGTGCTAGATGAGCCTGCTCAAAAAAAGCTCGAACTCAATTTTTTTTAGTTGTTATGACTTATGAGCTCACGAGCCGGCTTGCGAGGCGTATTCTTTTATATATATTTTATTTTTTTATTTAAATAATGTGTAATAAATATAAAATATTATAGAAATAATATAAAAAAAAACATATAAAAATATATATGCTTACACAATTTATTTTTTATTTTATTTTTTTATTATAATATAAATAATTTTTAATAATAAAAAATAAATAGTTTAAAAAAATTGAGCTTGGGCTCGAGCTCGAGCAAAAAAATTAAAAAATACTCAACGAGCTCGAGCCTGCCAAAACAAGCGAGCTCGAGTCATTCACACTCCTACATATGAATGCTATTATGCGTGGTTTAATAATATAAAATTACATGATGTATCTCATCAGGTGCACGTTCAGCAAAACCGATTCATAATACTTGACTTTTGTATTCACTCATATTATATGATACATAAGAATAATAATAATGATAGTAGTTAAAATATAACTTTTGTAATTGTTTTTGAACTTAAACTTGATCATAAATTACAATTTCATATATATTCCAATTTCGACAAAAATATAATCAAACCAAATGTGAAATGTCCCACCATCACAATGATATATTATGTTACTATATCTCCTTAAAAAATAAATAAAAAGAAAATGAAATATTCTCAATAAATAATAAAAAAAAAAAGGAAATCAAAAGGACTGAAATTGAAATTCCGGAATCAGAATTTTCTGAAGGCAGCAGAAGAATTGGCGGTAGCCCCCAATTCTACTTTCCTTTTGATTTCTCTCTCTCTCTCTCTCTCTCTCTCTCTACTCAGTGAAGAAGAAGAAGAAGAAGAAAATGAAGAGAGAGAGAGAATTCATCGAACTATCGGAGGACGAGTGGTCCCACCACTCCGATTCATTCAAACCATCTCGCGTACTCAAACCCAAACCCCAAAACCCTCCTCCCCCAATCGAATCCTTCGCTTTCTCCAATCCCCGCGCTAACGGCGCCGCTTCCAATTCCGTCCACGTCATCGACAGTTCGTCCTCCGAAGAGCTCGGAGACGCGCCGCCGCCGCATCCCGCCGGAAACCGCATCAACGAATTCGAGGATTTGGAGGACGAGGACGCCGACGTGGTGGTGAGTAAGAGGCCCGCGAGTACGGCTACTCGCGGCAATCGCTTTGTCATCGAGGACGATGATGATGATGATGATGAAGAGGATGGAAAGGCCGGCGATTTTAGTGACCGTGAGGTTTGGTTGTCGGAGGCGGCGGAGGATTTGGAAGATGAAGAAGAAGAAGAAGACGTTGTTAAGAAGGCTCTGCTCAAGTGTGGGAAGATTTCGGCTGAGCTGAAGAGGGAGTTGTACGGTACAAGCGTCGCGGCTTGCGATCGGTATTCGGAAGTGGAGTTGGGTTCTGCTGCAGCTAGAATTGTCACTCAGGTATCAATGTTCCAAGTTGTTATTTTTTTTTTGATTTTGCAATGGAATTGTTTTTGATGAGGGTTTAATTTGAAGCACACTAGATGTTTAATGTTTGATGATTAGCTGTTTAGGATTTAAAAAAAAAAAAAATTTTTGAAGAATTTTTCTGCATGGAGAAACAAGAAAAGACAAACGGATACATCTAACTCTTTCCAATTCAACATGCAGGACGATGTAAACGAAGCGTGCGGAGCTGAGGATTCAGATTTTAAACCGATTCTAAAGCAATACCAGCTTGTTGGGGTCAATTTTCTTCTGCTTTTGTATAGAAAGAAAATTGAGGGAGGTAATACATCTTTTCTTGTTGGGTTTATACTTAATACTAATCATTTGTTATGCTTAGTGTTGGTGTCTATTTTTGCTATGCGATACTCTTATGTGGTTAACTTGAAGTGGCTGCTATAAGCTGGCTTTAGGGTTTTCACTTGTTTGTTATTTGATGAATGTTGTCGTCCTTTCTTGTTTTCTGAGTAGGAAGCTTTGGTATATTTATAACTTGTCCGGACATTCAATAGTGTTATTTTGTTAATTTAAGAGTGTAAAACTTCTATGCTGAGAATGTTAAATGTATGCATCAAATAGTATGAAAATCGAATAATAACTACTTGGTATGCTTCTGGTTTTAACTGACCTCTGTCGTATTTCTAAACAATATTAGTTGAAAATGCAGCTATATTGGCAGATGAGATGGGTCTTGGTAAGACTGTCCAGGTAAGTTCGTTGCAGTTCTATCTTTGCCGTAATCTTTTTTCTCTAATTTGGTTTCCAACTCTCAGGCCTGACTGTGAAGTAAATTTTGTACCACAGGCCATAACTTATCTGACCCTGTTGAAGCATTTGGAAGATGATCCTGGGCCTCATTTAATCGTTTGTCCTGCATCTTTGTTGGAAAATTGGGAAAGGGAGCTCAAAAAGTGGTGCCCGTCGTTTACCGTGCTTCAATACCATGGATCTGCGCGGTCAGCTTATTCGAAAGAGTTGAACTCTCTGGGGAAGGCCGGTTTGCCACCGCCATGTGATGTTATTCTTGTGTGCTACTCACTTTTTGAACGCCACAGGTTTGTGGTTTCTATTAGGTTGTTCTTTTGGTGAAATTCCCTTAGAGTTTCTCTTCATTCTCAAGTCTGAAAGTCATTCTTCAGTGCGCAGCAGAAAGACGACCGCAGAATTCTCAGGCATTTTAAATGGAGTTGTGTGCTAATGGATGAAGCTCATGCTTTGAAGGATAAGAGCAGTTACCGGTGGAAAAACTTGATGTCAGTAGCAAGAAATGCAAGACAGCGTCTGATGCTGACAGGGACACCGTTGCAAAACGATTTGCATGTATGTTTTCACAAGAACCTAGTTTTTATTACACATTAGCATCACAATTCACATCATTGGCTGGTCGTACGAGGAATTTTTAATTGTGATGTTTCTGTTTATAATTTAGTTTACATAAACTAATTATTTAATCCACCAGGTGAGAATATTCCTGCCAATTTTTTTTTCTCCTTTTGTCATTGTTGGTTACTTCGGATTGCCTTTCTTGAGTAGTTTGTTCTTTGTTTTGCAGGAGCTGTGGTCGATGTTGGAGTTTATGATGCCCGATCTTTTTCAAACTGGAGATGTTGACTTAAAAAAGTTGTTAAATGCAGAAGATGGAGACTTGATTGGTAGAATGAAGTCCATTTTGGGGCCATTCATCTTAAGGCGGTTAAAAGCAGACGTAATGCAGCAGCTAGTTCCAAAGACGCAGAAGGTATTGGAGTTGAATCTTCAGCTAATTTGGCTTGAATTCCTTCTATAAATGTTTTAACTTCTGCTCCTACAAATACTTTATCTATTTTTTTTTTCTGTTTATCCACCTAATCTAAGTGGCACCTTGATTGTGTAACAGGTTGAGTATGTTCACATGGTAAAAGAACAAGAGGGTGCTTATAAAGAAGCAATTGAGAATTATCGTGCTATATCTCAAGCTCGTATGAAGTCTTCAGAAAGTTCCCTAGTTAATATAGCTCGGATCCTTCCTCGACGTCAAATATCTAATTATTTTCTCGAGTTTCGTAAGGTATTGCTTTTTTTTTTCTGTTAAAGTTGTGTAATGCTTAAACATTTACCAGTTTCTTAGATCTTGTTTGTTTCCTATACTTTCAGATAGCAAATCATCCTTTATTGGTTAGACGCAATTACACAGATGGTGATGTTGTTCGTTTTGCTAAAATTTTGCACCCAAAAGGTGTATTTGGTTCAGAATGTACATTGGAACGTGTAATCGAAGAGCTTAAGGGCTATAATGACTTCAATATTCATCGGGTAATTGGGTTTTCAAATGCGGAATTATATATTTGACACGTTGGAAATGCTATCACTTGCCCATTATTTATGCAGTTGATAAGAATAATTCTTTACTTTGCTACTTGAGCTTGGTCTTCATCTTATGACATACGGGTAAATATTGAGACTCAATTTTACTGCTTATTGCAGCTTATGCTTTACCACGGTGATTCTCCTTCAGATGGAATTCTTTCTGACGAACACGTTATGTTTTCCGCCAAGTGTCGGGTAATGTTTCATTGTCCTCTACTTCTCAGTATTAGTATCACACTAAGCCAAATCATTTAGTAGGTGGGATTGTGTTTTGATTGAGATTATGACTAAAACTGGTTTTGCATGTGGATTTAGGCATTGGCTGAGCTTCTCCCTGCACTGAACCGCTGTGGGAGTCGTGTTCTTATTTTTAGTCAATGGACTTCAATGCTTGACATATTGGAGTGGACTTTGGATGTGATCGGTGTCACCTATAGGCGGCTTGATGGAAGGTATATTTGTCTTTCTGTTAGATGTTCTGTGCAGTTTTCATGCCACTGATATCTTATGTCAATTCTCCATTTGATGAATATTACTATGAGATGATGATTGCTTGTGAAATATTTACCAACAAATAGGGGGTTGTAATTTAGATTTTCTATCTTTTCCATTTTCTTTTTGTTCAAGGGCAATTTGGACATTTTATTGGTTCTTTAAAAATCTTGACGGATCGTTAGTTTGAGAGGTAAATGTAATTTTGCATGTCGAGTTATTTTGCAATTTGGCCTTTATCTCATCGGATATGCGTAATTTACCCTATCTTTTTTTTTTCTTCTTTTTTTCTTTTTTTTTTTTTCCTTTCTAATGTTTACGTATTAAAATACTGCGTGATAATACTATTGTTTATTTGAAACTTGTGATTAATTAGCGGAGTTTCATTTATATGTCATACTGTTGTCAGTACGCAGGTGACAGAGAGACAGACAATAGTGGATACATTCAACAAGGACACTTCTATATTCGCATGTCTGTTGTCCACAAGGGCCGGTGGGCAGGGTCTGAACTTGATCGGAGCAGATACTGTTATCATTCATGACATGGATTTTAATCCCCAGATTGATCGACAGGCTGAAGACCGCTGTCATCGTATTGGTCAGACTAAGCCCGTCACAGTTTACAGGTAAACCCCCCCCCCCCCCCCCCCTTCCCCTCTCTAAACCTCTCTCTCTCTCTCTCTCTCTCTCTCTCTCTCTCTCTCATCTAATAATTTTCTTGATTTGGAAGGCTTGTGACAAAGGACACGGTAGATGAGAACGTTTACGAGATTGCAAAAAGAAAGCTAAGACTGGATGCTGCTATGCTGGAGGCTGGAGTAGAAGACGAGAATGAAGGTGAGGTGCCCGATAAAACTATGGCTGAGATTTTATCTTCATTGTTGTTGCGATAACTTTACGTCTCTAGGCCTCGCTTGATAGTTGATTCACACTAAATTTCTCCCATTCCCGAATAGGTCTAAATTCTGTGCTATATTAAATTTTAGTAACGATGAGAGTCCGATTATAAGTTAGTCGAGTATTTGAAATTTGATCTTTTTAATGCTGATTTTTACACTACTGTGTCCGTATCTACCTATAAATAAATAGGCGGTGTGCGAACGCACACCGGTTTAAATATTAAGGCTGATTAAAAAAAACAGTTTCTTTTCTTAATCGTTATAATTAGACGTAAGCACCTCATCGGAAACTATAACGCTAATGCAGAAACGAAAGAAGCTTCATCAAGCGGACGTTGCCATATAAGCTAACATCACCGTAACCTTATATTACGAAAACGAGGGCAAGTTTGAAAAGGATAAACATTTGTAATTATAGAATATATACCAAAAATTCAAAAAAATAAAAAAGAAAAAAAAAAGAAAAAGAAAAAAGAATCGAATCATCGTACGCAGAATATCTAACTCGAACCTTTATCTTCGGCCTCGTCTGCTATAGCGTCAGTTACAAGGGTCAACGGTCTCTCATCCATGATTTCGTCTATAATACCAAACTCCTTTGCCTCTCGAGGCGTCATGTAATAATTGCGGTCCATATTCTTCTCAATTAATTCAATAGATTGTCCGGTGTGCTTGCAATAAAGTGCGTTAAGCGAGTCCGAAATACGAAGAATCTTTTTGGCATAAATGCTCATATCCTTTGCCTGCCCTCTGTGCCCACCCGAAGGCTGATGAATCATGATCGTGGCATTTGGTAGGGACCGCCTCTCACCCTTTGCACCGGCAGCCAATAGGAGAGAAGCCATCGATGCGGCTCGACCGAGACATATAGTGTTGACTGGAGATCGAATGTACTGCATCGTATCGTAGATAGCAAGGCCTGCATAGAAATGTTTTAATCTATATAATATAAATTATAGATGTCGATAAGTCGACATAGGCGAACGAAATTTACGTGTTGAAAATATTAAAATACAAAAATCAAAATACGCCGGCCAAAAAAAAGTGAACAATTACCGGCGGAGACGGCGCCTCCGGGGGAATTGAGATACATGTGAATGGGCTTGGATGGATTTTCCGACTCGAGGAAAAGAAGCTGGGCGACAACGACGTGAGACGTGTCGTCGGAGATCGGACCGTTGATGCAGATAATTCGCTCCTTCAGAAGGCGCGAGAATATATCGTAGGATCTCTCCCCTCTGGATGAATGCTCAATAACCCTCGGCACGTGGACGTAATGTCTTCTGCCATAACCACCGCCGCCGCCGCCGCCGCCGCAAACCGGAGAGGCTCTTGGAATCGAGGATTTGCAGGCACTGATTTCACGCCATAGATTACGAGAAAACAAGCTCAGCATCATGCTTGATTCTAGGGTTTATTTTTTTCCCAGTCGCTGCGGAATTGAATTTGCAGCGCAATTGAATTAATTCTCAGTTTGCTGAATCAGAGAGTTGCCGCCGGGTTTTGGAGAAGTTTTAACCCGAGGGCATTAAGGTAATAATTGTATTAAATTGGGCTTTGCTCAAAAGTTGGATTTTAGTTAGTAGGTAGTTCTTTGATTTTAGGCCCATTTTAATAAAGTCCAATTTTAAATTAAATCTATTTTTTCCAAATTTTAAAATCTACTATTTATATTTTTTTTTTTGAAAATATATACTGTAACCTTGGGTGGTTTACACTAGCTTCACGATTATCTCTCCTCGTTTTGTTGTTCTTTACACGCACTCTTTCTTTCTCTCTCTCTCTATATATTATATACTCTCTTAAGTTATTCAACGATCATCGAACCAAAGAGCAAGATTGAATAGACCATTTCACAAAACGTAGAAATTTAAATGGTATATCAGCATATATCAAAACGAACAAGACGAATAGATGGGCATAATTTCTACAAAAGAAAGGTAGCCAACGATTTAAAATTAATTATCAAATGAATAGATGCCCATATTTACACAACATTTTTAACATACAAAAAAAGAGATGGAGATGAATAAGCTACATAGAATGCAATATCCATCTTTTACGCGCACAGACACACATGGGTACGTGCGTATTAACAAAATGCTGATTTTTCGATTCATATTTACAAGTACCAAATGAAACAAATGCTCAACCAAGTTCGGCATTAGGATCCAATTGCTTTTCGCTGACGAGGACGCCTTCATCCCATAGCTCTTGAGATCTTAGAAAAAATGTAAAAAAACCAGGAGTTTTTAGCAGTTCGATATAACACATTGGTGCTTAATGCAAAAAAAAAAAAACTCAATTAAAAAATCCATGGAAAAAATAAATTTAGAAAATATTAAAAAAAAAAAAAAAAAAAAAAAAAAAGACAAACCTTGTCCCATCAACATTGATACGAAGAAAATTTCCATTTCGCCATCCTTCTTTGAAGTGGCCAAAGAAAACATCACCAAGCTTCGAGTAGAAACGGCCTTCGCCGTTTGCCTTTCCCTTCCAGAAATTGGCAAACCATCTATCTCCAGTATGGAAGTAAATCCATCCCTACGTAAGATACGGAATACAAATTAACACTATCGTTCGCAATTTTTTGTTTCAATTTAACTTAAATTCCACAGAAAAAAAATAAAACTCAATTTCCTCGATACCAAATAGATTACCTTGCCATGCATGACATCATCCCTCCAGGATCCTTGGAAAACATCTCCATTGTTGAAGTAGAATGTTCCCATACCCGATCTTTTTCCATACCGCCACATACCCTCATATATGCTTCCATCTCCAAGCAATAGACGACCCTAAGAGAGACTCATCATTATATTTAATATTTAATATTTATACCATCCCTTTTAATCAGATGCATCAAAATCGAGTTTTTATTATCTTTTTGGATGAACATGAAAGTACCTTTCCTTCGGGTAGCCCTCCTTGAGCACGCCCTCTGTATGTTCCTCCACGATATTTCATTTCCACCGTACGATTCCATTTCTTCTGTGAATCTCTCTCCGTTTCCTGTATATAACCAACAAGGGTTTGTCAAATAAACCAGTTCAAGTAAGTTGCATGGAGAAAAATGCTTGCACAATCGGCAACTAAAACAAGTGTTTTTTCGTCCTTTTTTGACAGTTATAGCTTCCCAAAATTCTCGAAGATAAAAGAAATTATATTGATCTATTTCACAAGCGAGATAGAAAGTGTGCATAACCATGACTTTCAAACTTTAAACTGTTTATCATTCCGGTATTGCAGTATCGTATCCATACTACTACATATGATCAGCTCAGTTTTTTTGGGAAACGAACCCAAAAAAAGAAAATAATAATAATAATAAAAAAATAATATTATTTAGTTCGAATATTACCAGCATGGATGCAGCACGAACTGAGAGCCCTCCATGCTTCTTAGTGTTACCGGTGATATTTCCTTTATTGTTGAAGTCAACATTGGTCAACCCAGACCAAGATACACTAGGCGCATCGTGATGCTGCTTCTTCACATTGTCTTCGTGCTTAGTGTTTGAGGTGAGAGAAGTGTCTTCCAACTCCTCTAAATGTTTTACACCCACAGGCAGTTTGTAGATGCTGATACTGTCAACCGATGCAGTTGCTTCAGAAAAATTGGTCCCGTATTTAGACACTTCAGCTGATTGACCTGGCCCCTGATTCCCTCTAGTTAGCAGCTCCCTTTTGAACATTTGCGTGCCTGTATAATCCATTCCGATCAGAATTACATAAAACTAAAATGTTATCGTCGTTAAACTAAGAAAAACTGAGAGCATCACATTCACTACTGATAGAATAATTTTGGGGAAAATTACACTTTTCGTCCCTCGAGTTTACCTCAATTTCACATTTGGTCCCTCTTGTTCACAAAACTCATGTAACATGAGGGACTAAATCTGTATTTTGTGAACAAGAGGGACTAAATGTGAAATCAAGGTAAACTTGAGGGCCGAAAAGTGTATTTTTCCCAATAATTTCGGTACCTTCAGAATTCAAATCATAAGCGGAAGAACTGAAGTTAGATTCAAATAATTCCACCTCTCTTTCTGCTGAGCTATTCTCATCCCTACACAAGAAGAATTTGTCAATGTCGGAATAGATCATTGGAAATACTAATTATGTGAAGCCGAAACATGCATTGAAAAAACCTTATAGAAAATAATTCTTCATCTATATCCCCGATTTTGCCAGAGAAAACACCAGTTTCTTCAGCGCCAGGTGGATTTATCACGTCGGAGATACGCGGATCCTTAGATGAAATGGCGTTTTCGGAATTGTTAGTTTTCTGGTGTTGCTTCTTAAAGATATTGAAGATGAAAGGGAAACGTTGGCCCAGGCTAGAGAATATGCCGTTTCTGGGAGCCAATTGCTTTCTGGTATATCTGTTTACAAATCACATACATCCTACGTAAAATCAAAACAGGTCCACTTTCAAATTGTCCACCAGAATAACAAGCCATTAAAGATTAGGGTTTAATACTAAGAAAATCAATACTCAAAAACATGCAACTTCAAGAAAACATTTGGACAGTCAATTCAGTTTAGCTAACTTGGTTGACAAGGAAGGTTACCCGAAAACAATTACGGTGGCCAGTATTGTGTTAGGCTCCAGATTGGGCTCGTGAACTACAGATACGGCGATTTCGCCGTTGCATTTTGTAATTGAACGAATTTCGTGCAAAGCATTATTTGCATCATTGCCATTTACGATACCTGAAGTTGCAATCATGCATAAAATCACACCATCAAGGTCCTGCCATATGAATAGCAAAAGAAATGAAGCGTGAGTTGCAAAAATGATGTCATCAAAAGAACAGTTAGTGCAATATAAAACCACAAAAGATTTAAGTAAGTCGAACCTTTATATCGACACCCAGGAAAGGGCAGTCGTTTATAGCTTGCAAAAGTGAAGTTTTGATATTGTGACCCGACCCAAATCCAATTCTTGCTTCACTGTAACTCTCGAAAATCTGTAAATCATAAAGGAGCATCAGTGAAATGTCTGGCATGAAAAAAATAGCTCATTCCGGGAGTTGTTACTTAGCCTTCATTTGAAACAGGATTTGAATTTTTCATTAAAATAAAATCTCCGTATATTTAGGTGAACTGACAACTGAAATCTCGTAAGGAATAAGATTGTTCGAAAACTTACTTCTCTAAACTCAGGAAGTTGAAGTTCTCTGATTGAATTGTCGTTTGTGTTGAGAAGTTTTATGTGTTTTCCCTGTTATCGACAGTGAAAAAGTTATTACCTCAAATTTAAGCAATAAAAAGTAATATTAACAAAGTTTTAGCAAATGTGAAATCAAAACAAGGCAAGGTGAGTTGTCTTACAGATAAGAGAATGGATATGGCATTCATGGCCATCAAAACAGCATTGTTAGAAGTCCTCAACGCCTCGTCTAGAGTAACCAGATCATTCTCGAGAAGCGTATCCGTATCAAGAACTGCAGTAGTCAAATTCACAGTCATACATATGGTTTTACAGTGCATAATTTTTCTTAAGAAATCCACAATATGAAAGTCAAACGAAGTCAACATGCAAGCTTCTAACTATATCAAGGAAACAGTTTATCAGCCTCAGGAAACGAGTTACTCACCGATACAAAAATTTGCTTGCTTTTGAAGTTTGCTTACCAAATCCTTGACCTACAGATGGCATAAATCACTATAACGTTTCAGTAAATTTTATATTAATATGAACAAAAAAAAAAAAAAAAATCAGAATCAAAAAGGAAAAAAACATGTACCTCGTCTAGGCGCCTTTGTCCTTCAAAGCTAAATGGCTTCAGAATTATGCCCACCACAAACCCGTTTGCAGATTTGGCATTACTAAGAACTTCAAGTGCTGTAATATGATCCGAGCCATAAGCAGCACTAGCAACCTAATTAAAAAAAAAATAAGTGAAGAATTAAAACAGTTTACTAAAAAATATAATAGGTTCTAGAGAGAGAGATTCGACTATTTCCACCAACTAAAATTCATATTCGCATCAGAAATTAAGCTTACAAGTCATATTTCCCTGAACCTTTGACATAACAAAGGCTGACCTCGTTAAAGTCTGGTCACATGCGATTTAATTTAAAAATTATCAGATAACTGAATTCATCTTCAGAGATTTTTAAAATTAATATTTGTTAATTATATTACATCAATTGAAAGTTGACTCGTGCATATGCATGAACAACTCCAACTATTCAACGATTTCAACTCAACTAAGCATTATCCAATACCATAAAAAATAGAAGATAGAGTGAGAGGCAGGTAATGTACAAACAAGTATAACAGCTTTACGAGACTGCCGAGCTGAGAAATCTTCCACTGTTATTGGAGTGCTATCTGCAAAACCACACAAACGCAGCGAGCAACGCAAATGCAAATTATTAGAACAATCGGCCAATATAATTTGCCAGACATTAATTTATAAGTTTGAATAAAGAAACAAACATGTAACTACACGTCGGAAAATTCAAAATCGACAACTGAGTTTAGATCGTTAACCTTGTTTAGTAAACCTCTGTTGCAATCGCACCAGTTCCGACTCATAACCAAGAATATTCCTGCCACATAAAAAAAAAGTTACATTAACTACGAAACCTCGATTTCTAGCGGTTGAAGATATGAATTCAAAGACTTCCATTTAAAGATAAGCACCATGTCAATTGTACATCGAAATTACAACACCGAAAAGTAATACAAGTAAAACGCAATTATCAAATCAAATACATAAATAATGCCGTAAATCTAGCAGATATAATGGATTATCTAAATTACAAGTTCAGAATCAGTGAACATATAAAATCAACATTTAAAAATAAAATTAAATAGAAAAGGAATAATCGGAATATACCAGAATCTCAGAACAGGGGAAAGAAAAGGAGAGGCGGAGCAGAAGTCCAGGATGGCATCTTTCCGGCTGCCGACAACTATCACCTCCACGCACTCGTCGGATTCTTCCCAGATGTCACTGCCGCCATTGTTACGGCCGTTACTACAGCTCTCATTACTGGCACTAACGCAATTGCAATTCAATTTCAGCCCGGCGGAATTTGAATTCCATCGAGATGATAATTTGGGCCCAGATTCTCTGCGGGTTCTGAGAATCGAGAGGGATGGGAATGAGAAGACTGAAAGCAAATGAGGGCCAGTTGTATTAGGGCAAACAAGTTTCATGGATTGTGATAACTGAAATCTGATCGGAAGAGTGCCGCGGCGGTGGTGTGGTGGCGGCGGCGGGTGGTGGTGCGGGAAGGAGAAAGGGCAGAGGAGTGGTGCTCTGCTCTGCTCCCGTCGACGCTGAACTAGTAGATTAAATTGGTTAAAATTACATTTTTGCCCCTCCAAGTTCTGAAAAAGGTCGGTAAATAAATTCATAACTACTTTGCAAGTATAGTCTGTATTGGAAAAAATCAAATTATTTATTTGATTAATCCGATTAGTTAGATGGTGTTTGCATAAACTTTTGAATTTAGATTGTGTTACTCATTTTTGCAGGTTAATTTGTTCAATCCGGTTATTTATCGTTTTGCAAGTTATATGGGATTCGTATGTCACTCTTTGTGACCGGTTCTCGATGCTCGACCGTTGCGGTTCAACGGCATGTTGTGCTGTTTGGACGACATTGATCCTGATCACGCTGAACTAGTAGATTAAATTGGTTAAAATTACATTTTTGCCCCTCCAAGTTCTGAAAAAGGTCGGTAAATAAATTCATAACTACTTTGCAAGTATAGTCTGTATTGGAAAAAATCAAATTATTTATTTGATTAATCCGATTAGTTAGATGGTGTTTGCATAAACTTTTGAATTTAGATTGTGTTACTCATTTTTGCAGGTTAATTTGTTCAATCCGGTTATTTATCGTTTTGCAAGTTATATGGGATTCGTATGTCACTCTTTGTGACCGGTTCTCGATGCTCGACCGTTGCGGTTCAACGGCATGTTGTGCTGTTTGGACGACATTGATCCTGATCATCTGGAAAAAGTGTTGAGGCACTTCGGCCAGGTCCAACATATTCATGGACGACCTTAGGGCATCTCCTGTCGACGGGGGCGGCTCCCCCGACCCCGACCCCAACCAATTTCTTGTCCAATCGATCAATCTCTTTCTTCCATTTTTTCCATCACCACTCTCACCATATAATAATAATAATAATAATAATAATAATAATAATAATAATAATAATAATAATAATAATAATAATAATAATAATAATAATAATAATAATAATAATAATAATAATGTTGTGCTATTATTAGGTTATTAATTATATTGTCATTTTCTAAAACTATTTTGTAATATAATAACATGTAATGTTAATATAATTAATAGAATGTTTGCAATAAAATTACTATTTTAAATTAAAAAGATCGAATTAGATAAAAAGAAAACGAGAAAACTAAAATAAAATAAAAGAAACCAATAAAAAAACTAAAATAAATAAAGAAAAAAGAAAGAGAAAAAAAACGAGAACTAAAATGAATTAAAATTAAAAAAAAAATAAGAAATGAAAAATAAATAAAGAAAAGAAAGAAAAAAATAAAAGAAAAATAAAAGAAAAAAAAAGAATAAAGAAGGGGATGATGGCCTACGTGGAAGAGAAGGAAAAAAGAAGTAAAACCAAAAAAAAAAAAATAAAAAAAAAATAAAGCGTGAATGTCCGGGGAGGGTGGGGCGCGTGAGAGCCAGGGCTTACGCAGTTATGCCTGGGCTCAATTCACCCCCAGCCACCCCAGTCCCACCCCAGCCCCACCCTCTATTCACTAAATACCTCAACCCTCCCCTATCCCCACCCTTCCCCATTTGATAGGAGATGCCCTTATATGTCAGCAGCTATTTTCAAGAAGAAGCTTGTATGAGTATAGCTCAACTAGTTTTAGCGGTAAGTTGGTACAAGGTTCTATGATCGAATTCTAGCAGCTGTAGTACGGAAATTTCAACTTCAATGAGAGTTGGTTTCTTGTGGGCACCAAGTCCAGGTCCGCTACCTTAACGGCCCGTTGAATTACCATGATTTATATTCATCCATCAAATACTTGTCGGGCCAAGGGATGGGGCGAGAGATTTCGCTTTTGGTACAAGCTATGTTCAAGAAGATGGAACTGTCTGAAGTTGTCATTTTTGTTGGAATTTTCATAATTTCCAATAATTAATATTGAGTAATATTAATTTAATTATGTAAAGATAAATTTCATTTATTTACTTGATCAAAATCATGAAGTAAAGTGAATGAAAATTGTCTTGATTAAATGGTTAAAGTTCAAAAGATGTGCGCTCGGTGTGATCGAGTGATAGGACTAGTTTGGGTTTAGATGTCCACAAATATTACTTTGGGGACATTTAGTAATTAGTCAAATTAATTGACCCAAAATCTAAATCATAAAATATTTGGCCCAAACCAAATATTTAATTAATTGGTCCATGACCAATTAATTTTCCTACGCTTTTTGAACTCGTAAAAAGAAGAGACACAACCTTCTGCTTCTTCTTCAACCATTGCATCCCTCTGTGAATGAATCTCTACAACCTATAAATAAAGGCAGAATCTGGCCAATTCTGTACTGAATTTAATCGGCAATTAAGAGATAGTTCTTCATATTCTTCCTTTTCTTCGTCAAAGTTTCGTTCGTTGTTCAAGTTCGCCGTGGGTCGACTATTCGTGCAAATTTTCGACAACCGATCGTTGTACCTTGGGAGACTACCGGGAAGAGACTGTGCACCGTTGACAGCCCGGAAATATTGTCTTAAGGGAATTGCTTTGGCAAGCCTCGATCGTTCTTTGTGGTTTTCACAATTCCTCTTTTCGACAAACAAGTAAGTATTTTCGTTTACGCAGATTGTTATAAATTATACCAACAATTTTGTCGCATGTTTCGACTGAGTACAGGATCGATGGGATGAATATTGTGCGGACGGGGTGTTGAAATCCGTTGTAATAGTTGACGGAGAGCCAGACACAACACCAACTTACATGGACTGGTTATCCAACTCAATATTGTCCCAGTAGTTCGACTGTAGTAGCTCGACCGACCCCGGGAAGCTCATCCCACGCCGGGTCATGATAAGGTGGCTCGTTTTCTGCAGATGGTGAGGAATACCTTTATGGAGGTATGGCCACTTGACATCCATACATAGTGCCAAGTGTGTGTGTGTGTGTGTGTGTGTGTGTGAGAGCATTGTATTTTTTGTTTTTTTTTTTTTTTTTTTTTTGAATTGGTGAGAGCATTGTAATTTGTACATGTATAAATGATATATGAAGTAAGCTGGACTGGGTCATGAAATATGGGTTAAATTAAATGAAAAAATTCGGCCCACATGCTGCAAATTAGAGTACAAGGAATATTGACACAAGGCCCAATACATTAAAGCACAAATTCATTTATTCCACTCAATCCACAATTAAAGACTAATCCCACATAATTAAAACAACATAGACCACTTAATCTTGCACAAAATTCATCTATAAATCACATATAACCTTAATAATCGTGTACTTATCAGTTATCATAATTATATCTAGATCGAGTAACAAGATCATTTGCAAATTTTGGAAGAATATTTGAAAGATTTTAAAAAAATAATTGAGAGAAAATTGTTGAACTTTTTTAAAGAATTGATAAATGGATTGTGTCTAATTTTGAAAAGTTATTGATAATTTCCAATTTTAACCCTTCCATCGTTTTAAAATACAAAAGAACTCCACATACCGCATGCATAAAACATTATAAATATATATAAAAAGAAAATCTTAAAGATCAACTGTGTACAACTGCACACCTAAACGTGGTTTGGTTCGATTGTTGAAAAAAAATAAGTTCGTATAGAATAAAATATCTTCATATATTTCAAAATATTAATCGTTTAAGGTTTTAACATACATGTGTTAAAACATAATTAAATATGACATAATCTTAAAAATTCTTTAAAACGACAGATAATTTGAAACGACGGAGTAATTCAATTTGGATATTGGTCAATTTGTTTTAATTTCAGAACACACTCATGTAACATGAACATGATTCTAACTTTTTTTTTTTTTTTGTCAATGTTCATCATCAAACACAATTGCACGGTCCAGACGTACTATTCATCTTGAGGTTTCAAGAACTTTGACCATGCCTACGTTGACCAAATTTTTTTTTTTCAAACCACAAATCCCAACCACTCAAAAGAAATAAGTTAAATAACTCTAACGAATCATTGAAAATAACAAAAGAAAAGAAAAAAAGAAAAGTGAGTTGGGTGAAGATTAAAATATATGGGCCCCACAATAGTAAGAGTGAAGAAAAAGTCACCTAAATAAATAAAAAAAAAAAAAAAACCAAAAGGACAAAACAGTTGGAAACCATCTCAGATCAAATATGAAAAAAGATGAACCTCATTTTGAATTTTGTCCCATGAGCATGCAATGACTATACATGACACACCTATAACACACACACACACACACACACACACACATATTTACAAGTGATAAATTTTCACTATTAATCTCATTTGGCCAATTCATCACTCTCTTTAATTTGTTCTTTATAAATTGTCGGCTTTCAGTTTTGCACGAGTATTAAGAAGGTCGATGAATGTGTCTTGATTTGAAAAAAAAAAAAACGCATTAAAAATACTAAAATAACCTTGATTATTTTTTGATGTGATAACATAGAGTTAATACTTCGAATTTAATTAATAAGATTAAAACAGTGAAAAAAATGCATATAATGCAGTGTTGAAAATGTAAATTGGCAAATAATATGGAACAATTTTTTTTTTTTAAAATGAACAGTTATTATAGTCGATCGAGACACAAATATCAAATAAGAATCAATTATTCGAGACAATCACACACAAATGAATATATATATATATATATATATATATATATATATATTAATTTTATTGTAGAAATTAATATAATATGGTACCTCATATTATTATGATGCATTAAATTTGAGAGCAATATTTCACATAGTACCTTCACTCTCTCTTACATGGATTTTGAAAATAAAATCTTTTTACATGCTATGGAGAAACATGTTATCATAACCACCGCAATTATTTAGTCCCCCACTTTACTACACCATCCCCCACACACATTTTTATTTATTAATAAATAAATAAATATTTAAAAAATGAAAAAGTAATTAAAGTAATTATTTCCCGAATCCCAAGAAAACAAATATATTCATCTTTTTCTTTCCATTCTCTTGCTCTCCGTTGACTGACTGACTGTTATCTTCTCTCCAAATCTAATATCATCTCTTTTTTTTTTTTTTGTCAAATTAAATTACCCATCTTTCTTTTTTTTCTTTTATGCTTTAGCAACTGCTACTATTATTTAAGTAATTAATGTTTTTTTTTTCTTTAACAAAAAGAATGATCAGGCATGTTAATCTTGTATCTATACTTTCCCCCCTTTAACTCTCTCTCTCTCTCTATATATATATATATTTATAATAATAATAATAATAATAATAATAATAATAATAATCTGCTATACATTTAATTATTTTTATATAATAAAAGAATTCAACACTGGAATATTAATTATAGACGTAATTAATGAAAAAAAATGAGCTCTTGCTCTCTTAGCCAATTGAATTTGTATTTGTTTACATAATTTTATCTTGACTAATCTTATTTTCCGAACCAAAACGAACGATTAATATATTCTATATAGGAAAAACAGTAAGTCAAACCGGATTCTCTAATTCAAAAATCATCAAACACATATAATTGAACTATGCTGTACGTTATAATTTAAATCAATAATGATTTTCATATTATAAAAAAATATTATTTGAAAAAAAAAAGTCAGAAAAAGATACGGGCCGGGTACCATATTATTATATTCTTCTCCCACCACTATTTAAACTTTCAAAAGATTGTCAGATTTTCTGTGCAAACAACAAGAATATTGTTATTACATTACACATATATACACACACACACATATATATAATATATGGGTGGTGATCTTCACACCATTGCTTTCAGCAACGGCAGTTATTGTAATAGTAATAGTAACAGTAATAGTAATAATCTACGAAGCAGCTCTTCCGTAGGTTGGGATCTCCATAACCACCTCGGAGTTTTCAACGCAGACATGTCTCTTTGTATGTGCACACTACTTTCTCTCTCTACATTTTTTTTTCTCTCTCTATATATATAGTCTGAGTAGTGATGGAAGTTTAATTTAAATTAACAGATGATCATATTAACATGGAGAGCAGTAGCCAATTGTTAATATCCGATAATATCGAAGATTTTTCGACGGGATATCTACAAGATGTGCTGTTTCAGTTCAGCTCGAAGCGACGAAGGCTTCTTTTCATGTCGGCCAACGACGAATGTTTAACCTCCGATTTCGACACTTCTTCGTTTGAGGTAACATAATATTAGTGGTACATATATAATCGTTTTTGTCAGTGTTTTAATCGAGTCGAGTTCGAACTGAGCTTCATTAGTTATGCTAACGGCTGATCGAGGTTCGAACGAAGTTTTAATGATTATTTTTATTCGTTGAATTATTACTCTATATATCCAGAATTGCATCCAGGATTGCTGCCAAGATTTTGATAGTACACTCAGCCAGATAACAAGATGTGACACAAATTCAGGTAATTAATTAGATTTAATTTAATAGCACTTTTACACTTATGATCTGTTAATTAAAATTTACATGGGGTAAAATATTTAGTTGTAATTATGCATCTAATTTAATTAATTAATTAATTATTCGTGTTTTTCGTAAATTGTTTATAGTTCATACAGATTTGTAGTGGATGATTATGTACATTTTGACGTTTACATGATCTTCTAACAAATGAAGTTAGAAACATTAAATTAATTAATAAAAAAGTAATCTTGAATTACTATATACATGTATGCAATATATATTTGGTAAATATAAAAAAGTTGTTGGTACCTAGCCTTTACCAATAGGGTAACGGTGTAGGGTTCGAGTCCCCCCTCCCCTACTTCCCCTTATAATGGACTTGAATTTATTCAAAAAAAAAAAAAAAAAATTGGTATTAAATAGTAACAATTAACTAACTGGGAATAATGACGTCATATATCAGATGTGAAAACACCAGAAGAAGAAATAATAATAGCAGAAAGCTATTACGACAGCTCATCATCTTCTCAGAAAGAATCAGAATCAGCAGATGAACAGTGGAAGAAGACGACCACACCTGAGAATAATGAAAACCTATTTTCCATAGACCCCATTTTCTCTTCTGCAGCAGGTAATTAATTACCTTTTCTTCTCTCTCTAGATCTTCTTTCTCTCTCTAGAAATAAAAATATTAATGAATAAATTGAAAAATAATGTTCCTTCCTACTGCACTTTGTCTTTTCGTCACAAAAGCTGCAAATTGTGATTGACCAATTGGCACTAAGTAACTGTACTTTAGGTCGGAATAAAGAAAGAAAAAAAACAACAGAAGATTTCCTTCCTGATCTAATTTCATAAAGAAATATTATTATAATAATCTTGATGGATCACTTGTCTCCTATATGTTTTTTTTTCTTTCTCACCCCATTATTCAAAATATTGTACTAATTATTTTATGGTAAATTACAATTGCCCCCCTAAGTTAGGTTTATTTACGAAAAAAACCCTCGTTTTTTGATCATTATATCAACCCCTGCAATTTGTAGATTTCTTAGATTAACATTCTTCTGTAGGGGTGGATGTAAGAAATTTACAAACTGCAGGGGTTTGTATGTAATTTCTAAAAAATAAGGAGTTTGTTCGTAAATAGACTTTACTTCAGGGAGGTGGTTGTAATTTACCATAATTTTAATTATAAATTACATATAAAGTATATGACAAAATTATCTCGTAATATTTGCCTAATTATTTCTTGGAGGCATAATAGATCTAAATTAGAATACTAATTATTTCAAATTCAAGAACATATATATAATAATAATATTATATATGTAATTAATACGACAGGTGGCCGAGAAAACGAGACGAAAAGATCAAAGAAGAGAGTATTAACAGCAAAGGTGGTGTATCCGTTTGCGGTGGTGAAGCCGGGAGGGATAGACGGCGACGTGACGTTGAACGACATAAACGAGAGGATTCTAATGCCGCCGACGAGGGCGGTGCGGCACCCGGTGGGGGACTTCGCCTGCCGCCCGCTAGTCTCGCCGGAGGGACCGGGTTTGTCCGGCAAGGCTGTGGTGGCGTTCACCAGGCTTCATACTCCGGGGAGAGGCTCAATCACTATTATCAGGACAAGAGGCTAATAGATACGTACGATCAATGTGTGTATACTATGAATGCATGTGCATGTAATAATTATTTAATTTTGTTGAGAGGAATTAATTATTTAGTGGAGGATTTAATTTGGAATTTGTAGATATGTGGTTTGGAAATTAAATAATTAATTAAGGGTTATGTGTATGTAGTTATATATAGTATAGAGCATAAATGTAGACAAATTAAAGTAGTTTATTTCATTTGATGTAAATTAGATTTATATAAATATTTATGCTTCACTTCATAAGTTGTGTTGATTATGGATGAATTACTTTTTTAACCTTCATGTGAAGAAAAAAAAAAGATATGATATATAGTTTGTGGTCCCCAAGATTAAAAACAAAATAAACTTAGTAATATTTTCAAAATATAGGTATTGACCCCTTAATCTTTTGTAAATATGAGTTTGACCCTTCAATTTTTTATTTTTCTCCACTCATGTAAATTTATATACTTTTTCATATTTATCATTACAATATAAAATATTATGGTTAAGAGTTATACTATTTTAATAAATATTACTTACTTTTGCATCTTTTTCTATGAATTACTCTAAAAAAAAATCGGACACCGTTGCCTTATTTCATAAAAAACTCGCTCTCTCTAATAAAATTTCTGGTTTCGCCCCTAAATTCAAACACGACACAATATACATAAGCACAAAGATTAATTAATTTACTAATTACAATAATGATCACTTAGTCATATAAAGCTAAAATACCAAATTTTCACTTTGTGTATTTATTAATCATATAAATAAGTAGGTAGCAATAAAGCTAAATCTCCAAAGTTTGAGAAGAGAAAATAGGGCATATTATATATATACAACGAACAACGCATGTGACAAGTCAAGCTGCGTGGTCTAATTAATTCATTCATTCAACAACTAAATAAAGAACATGATAAAAGTCAAAATTACAATATTTGATTTTCCCTCACCCCCTTTAACTTTACATAGTGGTAAACATTATAGCACTATATACATTTATTACAGTCATTGTCTCTTAAGTTTGCACCGATTTCATATTTGGTCCCTCGTGTTTAATAATTTAACATTTTTTGTCATTTTCGTCAATTTACCGTTAACTCGTCAATTACGGCAGTGATAAACACATGTATGATTCTGTTAGTACGAACTAAAAATTGATGGAAATGACTAAAAATGTTGAATTTTTAAACATGAGGGACCAAATGTGTTTTTTTTTTATAAATACGAGGGACCAAATATGAAATCGATGCAAATTTAAGGGATGAAAACTATTTTTTCTCATTTGTAATATATATTATTTTTATTCACAATAGTAGTCTAGTACTTGGTATAGAATAAGAGAATACGATGTTCATCTAATATTGACTCGAATTTTAATCTCGTTATTAACATTTTATGATCGAATTTGTGGTACACAGTTAATGCTTACCGTGTTTTATTCTGCTGAGTTACTGCACAAAAATGAAATTTATACAGTGCACCTATATACTATTGGTTGTCAGTATCATTTGATTTTAGTTATATATATACATGAATCTATAGCAAAAAAATGAATTCAAGCCTAAAAATTGGACACAAAAATAGCTATTTACCCATCACAATTCAGATGTCAATCTAATTAATTGAGCTTCATTCACATAAAATTGAACATTGAATTATTAGTTTGTCACAAATGAATGATATTCAAATTATTAATGGAAATAAAAGAAAATGATTGCCATGACAGATCCAGCAAATGTTACACCATTTACATGAACAGTCCTTGGCTCATTAATTATCTAACAAATATGACCCTATGACTATAGCTCAACTAGTTTCCAAGGTAGTAAATTAGTGCGCAAGGTTGTAGAATCGAGTACTGATAGCCAACCGCAGTGTTGGAATTTCGATTTTAATGTAGATTGATTCCTCGTGGACACCAAGCTCTGGTCAACTACCCTAACGGGACGGGCCATTGACTCACCACAATTCACGTTCCTTCATCAAAATCTATCGGATCAGGGGATGGCCCGGTGTCCCAAACATGGCTGCATTTATTAATTATTAATTAGGACAATAATTTGTGCAGGTTGGAGGTGGGGTATCTCCTGCTCTAATCATTGTGTACGAATCCAAATAATTGCAATTTATGGGGGACACAATAAATAATTAATGATCTATTTCTTTTCCTTGAAAAGATAAAAAAAATATATAATTAATAAAAACAAATTATATAATGTCCTGTATATATTTGTGAATTTTGTTCCACGACAAATTGAATTTGTCTTGGAGCATAAAAGTCAGAATAGTTAGTATTTACTATTTAGTATGTCCTTTTGTTTATAGTTAATCTATATATAGAGTCTACTTGCTTTCTTAAAAAAAAAAAAATCGATTTCCTTTAATATATTTGTCGATCTTTATACGTCGAGTTTGTCGCACTTTGTAAATACATATAAATAATATAATTATCACTATGTTTGCGATATCGGAAATTTGAGATCTGAATTGATTTAAAAACAACTATCTCATAAGATATAATTTCCAATATTATCACATTCCATGTTTTATAAATATTTAATTGAAAAAAAAAAGTTGCAAATTAAGAAAATTGAAATAGGATATATATATCAGTTGGAGGAGGGTAATGCTTTTACACTTTAATTGCGTGGTTACTATCCATTCTCTTTGGAAAGTAGTGAAACACAGCTGTTGAATTAATTAGATAAATTATTATTTTATATTTTGAATCTTTGACAATATAAAATCACAATGATTAGGTTATGTAGGTGAAGAAATATTTGGTCACATTTTAGTGGTACCCTTTTATCCTTTACACCGTGTATCTTACACCTAGTGAAATACACTATGTAATTTTAAATCGTAGACCTACATAAATAACTGTATACTAAGTACATAATGAATGTGTGTTATTATGTGTAGACCAGTGATGTAAAACTACACGGTGCATTTCACGTGGTGTATGTTCGACGATATCGACTGTACCCTGCATGTTAGTTGATAATTTAAATTTTCATCATTTTTTATTACTCCTAAACAAATATATATATATGAAATTAATCTTTATTGTGGGTGGGCCCGTACAAATAAATTCGAATAATTGAAACATAATGAGATAACTTTTATCATACTATATTATGATATCAAGAAATGAATTTATATACAATTTTTTATTTTAAGTTGACCTTTCAAAAGCTGACTACACATGCATAGTGCACATGAACCAGAATTTCATCAATATATTGTGTGATTGCTATTAATACATTTATTTAATTGATTAAATGGTAAAGGCTAATAAAATGTTTAAGTAACTAGATTTAAAGTGAGTGAAATCTAGAAAAAGACCAAAGTATGCATTAAATGTCAATATACTTATGAAGTGTCATTTGCATTATGTTTCATTATCTTTAAACTTTGGTTATTGCTTGTTTCTTATACATTTTCATTAGTTTTAAGTTATTTTAGTATCCCTTTAGTATTTTTGTAGGTAAATAATGTCTAAATGGATGAATATTGAGTAAAAAATACAGAGGAATTTCAACAATAGAAGAAGAAATCGCAACAAGTTTGCCGGTGTCTACGGTTTTTATATGGTAACTCACTTATATATATAGCATTGTCATATTGACATGATTCAAGCGACATTGAAAAGCCAAGTTAAAGGCAGCTTTTATATTTGTAGTTTTTCGAAGTTCAAGTTGGAAAAAAATGTCAAAATTAGGTTTGAAGTTTATGTTCATGCACGTCGATGTACTATCGTGCGCGCCCTAGCAAGAAAATGTCGTATTCAAGGAGGAAAAAAAACCGTGAACCACAAGAAAAGACACATCCTCGCGTCAAATCGCGAACAAGTTGCTCCCGAGCAGTACATACCACTATAGAACATTTGTTTTGCGCGATTTGTACTAAGTTTTCATCAAGGATTTTTATATTAAAGTTAATTGATGAATTGCTTTAATAATTATTAGAACCGGCAGGAAATCAACTATTTTTTTGACATTTTATTTTTGGGGATAACTACGTTAGATTGTTACAGTGGGTTGGAGAAGCATCATATAAAATAAATGTAATAATATATATGTATAATTAAAAAATAGAAATACAAAAATAGTGATAGAAAAGCAATGTGGGTAACAGTGGCATGCACAAGGGGAGACAGAGAGCATATGATGGTGCAGAGGGAACACAACAAAATCTGAAGACCAACAGAACAGACATGCACTCCCAGACTGCGACCTCACCGTAACACAAACATACACTATACTTTCTCCAGTACCATTACCATACTCCTGCTCACAGTCGATCACGCCTTCCCTTTTCTCCCCCCACCACCACTTTTTTTCCTTTATTTTCCAACTAATAATTTTCTTTTCTTATAAAATATTTTGAATTTTTATTTTATTTTCTTGATTTATTTTCCACGAAGAAAAAAAAAAAGAGAGGAGTAAGGCTCTGCAATATAATTATTTGATTTTATGTCAATAATAATATTACATACAAATTAATTATCTGATGATGTTTGATCAGATAAAATAACTTAATTGACAATTCCCAGGCAATGTAGATAGATAGATAGATAGCAAAGTTTTGCATATACATGGGGATTGTAATATTATTATAAAATGTGGTATGGGGGGAAAAGAGCTTCAAGAAGCTTGGCGAAAGGAGAGCCCGCTCGGAGAATCGATTCTTATAATATGCTCGTACTCACCACCCGAATCATCGCTCGATTCGTCTCTTCTCGCGCGGCTTTCATGTAGGCGAACACTGCTTTCTGCTTCTTGCATATCGTGCTTCCTTCGGAATGTAGTGGAACCTTCCGATTTAACTGAAACAATGGGAGGGCGGTTAACTAAAGGAACTCTTGGGTACGATAGACTGTGACTTGGCTTTACTCTTCTGCTCCTCGGAAAACTTCGAGTGCGTCTTCCTGGTATGCTTATCTGTGTTAGAGAGAGAGAGCTCTGTTAGGATAGAAAAAATAGAAAAGCCCACAATTCAATCACACAAGCCAGAATAGGTGTGGAAATCGCACGGATCGAATCAGAATTGGCACTTTCGGAAAAATTCCATTTTTTTCCGGGAAGTGAAAAACTAACTCTAATTCCTTTCCAAAAGATCGACAAATCGGAAATCGGAATTTCAGAAATTGGAATTAAAAAACTTCGTTCCAAAATTGTAAATTTTCGGGATCGGAGGTAATGGGAATTTCCAAAATTTTAAGCTCTTATAATATAATACATAATAATACTGTTATTATAAGTGTAATTTTTGGAAAAAAGTTGAAACTTTTGGAGAAAAAAAATCGGAAACTAAAACCGGATCGGAGATCGAAATCTAATATGTATTCCAATTCTGCTAAAAGAAATCGAAAAAAAATCAGAAATTTCGGAATCACAATGAAAAATGTTGTTCCGAAGTCGGAAATATTGGATCGAAATCGGCAGAATCCGGAGTTCTAATTTCTACCCCTACCTAAAACAGAGATAAATCTACTAACATAGGGAGAAAAGAATTAACTGATAGAATAAATTCCTATTCTAAGACAAATTCCTAATTATATTCTAACACACTCAGAGAGTGGACGTAATATGAAACGTTAAATACGGAATTATTCGAGAAAAAAAGATATGTATTAGTTTAAGTTAAAACGCACCATGCTACCAGATATGTATTAGTTTAAGTTAAAACGCACCATGCTACCGTAGATGCTCAACTGCATAGCCCTTGCAGACAAATTGTAACTGTTTCGTTTTCGATCTTCAGTTTCGCGATCTTGGTATTTAGATTTGAAAACTTGTTGAGGCCAACTCATCAGACCACCATGCTCTCTAACAAGAAGAGATTCAGAGGGGTGGTCGGCTGAATGTGGTATTAGTGACGATGGCCTTACCTGGAGAGCTGTAGATGCCTCAAATCCGGCAATATCAAATACGATTACCCTTGCCCTCGTCTCAACTTGATATACCAAAACTTGTTGAGAGAAACTTCCTGCACTTAGAATATCAAATACAGCTTAAGAGAGCTGCTTCTTCCACATGAATAAATCGAATCTAATTTAAAATGTATTTAGCGGGAAAAATACACTTTTCGTCCCTCAAGTTTTCCTCGATTTCATATTTGGTCCTCCTTGTTCACAAAAAAACAGATTTAGTCTTTCAAGTTTAAAAAGTTTAACACTTTTGGTCATTTCCGTCAACTTACCGTTTGTCCGTTAGTCAAGACATTGATGGGCACAAGCTTGATTCCGTTAGTATAACGAAAAATTGACTGAAAGGACCAAAATTGTTAATTTTTTTAAACTTGAGGGACTAAATCTGTTTTTTTTAACAAGGAGAACCAAAATGTGAAATCAAGGTAAACTTGAAAGACGAAAATTGTATTTTGAACTGTGTTTCGCTGATAAGTGACAAATTGTGTACCCGATGTTTCAGTTCGGCGAAAACTTTGATCAGTACGTGGTGGCAAAATTGATGCGGGAGCTGTAAGAAGCTCTTCTTGAGCACCTTGCAGTTTGATAAAACCTTCCAATAGAAAACCGACGGAGTGGTGAAGTAATTCGAAACTCTCCCCTCTTATGTATATATTCATTGTTGATCTTTCGGCAATAAGTGTTCTAATATCTTGCATGGACATTTTCTCGAATATATGAGGAAGCATTAGCTTGGCAAGTACGATGACACTTTCCTGCAGACAATTGAAACTAGTTAAATAACCGTAGCTCAAGGAAAGCTCACAAGATCTACTATTTATCACCTAAAATATGCAGAAAGTGACACACAAAAATGGAAGTTTGGAACTTAATAGTGCCACACAAGCTTTAAGAAAAATACACCACTACTGTACCTGCCAAAAGAAATCTTCGACTGCAGGATCAGATCTCAATGCGGAAAATATTTTTTCAGCTTCGACAAAGAAGCAGAGTACCACGGAGTTCGTAATAATATCACAGAGGAAGGGTTTTTCAGCAAGCACTTCATATAAACCCAGAGTACTTCCATGAGTAAAAGTTGGGTGCAGCAAATGCTTATCACCTAAACTCCTACTCGACCACTGCCAAACACAAATTTTCACAGCTAACAGTTGAGACAAGCTATAATGAAACCACGTAGCACAAACTATATAATTTCTACAACTACCTTCACGACCCCGTTCGATATTAACCAAATGCCAGCTGGCTTTGATCCCTCTCGATAAAGTGTTGATCCTGATAGTTTCATAATTTCTTTTGTAGATCCAGCCAATGTCTCACGCACTGTGGAAGGTAGAGCTCCCAATAAAGGATTGGAAGATATCAAATCACGTATTTTTGGAATTTTCACCAAAGGTGGATTTCTTAAGAGCTTTTTCAAGTCAGTCTGCGTAAGAGTCCAAATTTTGTTCAGTGTGACTTTCAAAGGGTAGTATCTAGTTAAATATGCTCATATGAAGTATGAACAAATGATCATAGTATATTACCTGGACGGCATCATGAAGATGGGTCATCTCTTTTTCTTCTAATAAGCCAATCTTCTCAAGATTATGAACATAATCAATTAAGTGACTCAGCACGGAATATGTGACTTGTCTCGTTTTCACAACACGTAGCACCTGAAGGTGCAATTATAACTGTAAATTGTATGGAGCATTTTCTCTGAAATAAAGGTCATAAGTTGTTTGCCTAGATACCTGAGGAAATGTAACGCGCACATCTTCGAGGAATGTCCTTGCTTCCTCACCTTCCAGCTCACTTTCCCTAATTACAGTTGCTGCTATCTCACTGTCTCCTAAGGTAATCAACGCATTTGTAAGAAACTTAACTACTCTTCTTTTTATCGATAAAAGACGTGGGGATTTGGAAAAGCATTCCGAACTGAATAGAATATAGAACCATTTTATGCATTGAAAAATGCCATATCATAAGCCAGATTAGGATAAAATGCAGCAGAAACTAAACATGGATGGCAACAGCTGAGCTCCAACAAACATGAACTTAAAACGAGTATAGCACGAGCTGAATTAGTTGACCAGCCAAAACTAGGTAAGGAAACACACAATAATATATATCAGAAAAGCTTGATCTTGTGTAATGTGTTTAATTCCACTGATTATTTCGGAAGCGCCAAACATAAAGTACAGTTGAATTTTAATTATCAGACTGCTGATGGGTACACGAGGCTAGAAAATGATGACTTGTATTGACTTTAGTGGTTTTAAGTGAAATAATCAACAAGAAACTCATATAACAGAAACCGTGCGTTCTCCAATTTAACTTACTGGTGCAAATAAGGTTTGGCATGTGTGTGTCTTTCTGCGAGAGGGAGAGAGGAAGGAGGGAGAATACTTCGTGCAAAGCTTAGTAGCTAAAACTTTCTGAGTATTTATTTCTAGACGAAGATCATTAACAACAACTCATCACAGAGACTCAGGGCTATGGCATACTATACCACCCTCCTACAAACATGTTATAGCTTTTGGCTTAAAGAACCTAAGAGCATGCTTATTAACTATTATGGCTATACAACTTGCATGCGAAAGAAAAACCTCAATGCAGCATCATCTTGGTAATTAGCAAGTAAATCAAATAGGTGTCTACAGTTCCATTCTGGATTTGCCTGATTATAACTTTATCGAATGGACATACATCATTTGGTGGTGTTCTTTTCATACAGATAAAATGCAAAACAACTAGTTTTAATTCCACAATAACAGATTATATCATCTGCTGATAAGAAGACAACAGTTTTGGATAAAGGCATTTAAGTTTAAGCAGCAGAAATCTCATGAATGATATACTGAAACCTGCAAGTGGAATTAAGGAAGTGGACGTAAAAGGCTCAATACGGAGAATCAGGTATAACTAATAACATATAAGAAGTTGATCCTTGATACGCATCCATTTTACTCCAACAGAAGGCAATTACGAAAAGAAATGATATGTAGCTTGTACATTTTGAAAAATAATTGTAAACGTATTGTGCAGGAATTCTTACCAATGAATTCATGCAGTTGCTGCCTAGCAATTCTATGAGCACGGAGAAAGGCAGCACAAATATAGCATGCAGACTCTAATCTCTCCACAGTGAAGTACGTAACAAGCTTTTGAGGCACAACGCTTGTTTGGAGAAACTTATAGTGGTTTGGGATGGTCACATAAGACTTTAGACCTTTCCAATCACACAAAGGTTCACGAGATACTTGATCAATTGCTTCATCAACAGATTGCATCAGAAGATTGGCTGTAGTTTGGGTGATCCTTCCCTCATCAAGCATGACCCAGTAAGCTGACTGAACACCTATAAGCACATTGATTTCTTCAGTTAGACATCATATGCATGCCATTTGATTTCATTATAATTAAGCAATAGGTATAAAAGAGTTGCAAAAACAATAATTTGGGTATAAATAGATAACTAGGAAATAAAAGTAAAACAATCATCCATTGTAATTTGAAGAAATAAAGACATAAGGTTATAGACCACTCACCATTCAACAAGCGTTCTCGAATATCTTTCAAATTCTTATGGTCAAGGTTATCATCATTTTCAGATGAAGAATGAGGGTGTGTAGTTTCACCATCCACATCATTTAAGCTTGTTATATATCGTTTAACGGTAGGCCAGTCGGCAGGTCCTAATTCCTCATCATCCCCAAGGTCACCAAAAGCCTCTAATGCTTTCTTCAACATTTCGTACTTTGTGTAATTTAGTATTCGCCTCTGTCACAAAATATGACAATAAAAAAGAGGTTAATGTTGTCAAGAAGAAACCCGTGATGTAACAATTGCATAACAATCTTAGGCACGCACACATACTCATTCATACACACAGACATGGAAATGTGTACATAGCAGTGGATATTCATGAATTTACGAATATTAAGTCTGCAAAGTAGACTGCATCCATAATTGTGGATAAGCCATCATTTTAACTAAATTTGGCAGTCACGTCCATAAATGTCTATCGGCAATAACTTCATATTGGACCATTTGTTGTTTCGTAAAGTTAGTTTTTGTAGCTATGTATCTCTAATCACTATTACATGATTACTGAAAAAAAGTGATCAATAGATACAGCACAGCACACATATCAGTATAAATGTACCTTTGCTGCTGATAGATTATCCATCTTAAGAAGATGTAACACAAACTGTGTTGTTGATCCATTCACAATAAGTGTAAGGAATACGATACCACCAGTTAAAAATACAAACTGCAAGAGCAATAAAAGTATGATCAGATATAACTCTTGAAAAAGTCTAAAATTGCAAATATAAGCATATGTAGAGAAACATATACATCAATACTGACAATACATGTGTATGTGTGAGTTGACAATGAACAGAGACATTATTATTTATTTCTTTCTTATGGATACTTCACAATACAATAGAAGGAAACTAGAATTTAATCAATTTGATCTTCATATGACGTACCAGAGTTCCAGTATCAGAACTTATAAATGGTGAGTTGTCACTGGAATTCTGAAACACCAATAAGACAAACATTAGATGATAGTCGATATTAGTAGCAATATTACATTTAGAAGTTGGAGAATCAGGCTCTTGTATGAAAGTAGAGTGATCATTTATTGAGAAACTTGTATAATTAGTTCCTAGAAAAGGCAAGAAATATTAGGCATGAATACCTCCTGCAAGTGACTTTAGCCCTCAGCAAGAAAATAGGAAACAATTACACCCATGCATGGAATAGACACTAGGAAGATTTTGTTAGAATTGGACAAGCACCACATATCAAAGAGGTGCTTCCACTTACCAGAGAACTAAAAGTTTCCATTGGAACAAGAACTCAAAACAAACATATTACTCAAGTCTTGCCTAAAAAATGGTGCTAATAATTCAAGGGGTAGATGTGGTGACGAAGGACATTTAGGGTTTTCCATACAGAAAAGCAAAATTTTCCTCCAATATTAGTAATTTAATTTTCTGATGATCCTTTTTAAAAATAGTTTGGTGAGAATAAAAATGTTACCTAATGAGTTTAAGTTGAATATTTGGCTAAAATCAAACATTGTATCAGGCATATCACTTTAATTCAGATATAAATACTTTGATTGAAATTTGAAAAAAATAAAACTTCATCATTCCATTAACTAGATAAATCAAGGGAGAGCAATACCTATTATTCTGATCAGAAAGGACTAAAGAACCACGGTCGCATTTATGAATGTGTACAAATTAAGTATTTGTAAATGTCACAGAAAGATTACTAAATGTGCCTCAACTAAATAGAAACATGCACATGTAAGAGATAGCACCATAGCAAGTTCTTGTTAGACAATGCAGTAGCATATAAACTGGTAAGAGTTAGTCTCAGAATTCTCTGAAATTAATCAAATGACAAAGCAGCTGAACTGAATAATTCGCTTAGTAAATCATTAAGAAAGTTTATGTAACTGCATTAAGTTAAAACTTAAACAATAGCAGTATTCTACAATTATAGGCCCTTATACGCATAACCAGAAGTGGATAAACTATATGAGCTAGAACTAATGATCGTAGTAGGAAGAAACAACACAAAGTCGAAATTTACCTAAGGTGCAAAAAAAATTTCCCTTCATCATTACAGAGAGAGAGAGAGAGTATCTTGCCTTAACGGAGAGTGAAAGTGACAATGCTACAGCTCCACGTAGACCAGACCAGACAAGAATAATAGCTTCTTTCCAGTCCAGACCATAACCAAAATATCTCAAAAATGGAAACAATACTGCAACCACAATCGCCCTAGCAACTTGAACAAACACATATAGAAGGAACAGATAACCCCAAGAATGTTCTGTGAGAAAAATAACAAAAGTTCAGAGCAAATAAAGTTAATAGAAGAAAAATAGAGGAGCAATAGTTTCACACTATTGACAGAAAACTTAACAAGATGCCCTAATGGGAATGCCAAAAAGAGAAAGTTCAACTAATATATTGTTTGATATACTTTTAACATCATCTCCCCAAAAAAAGAAAAAGCAAACTGCAATAACTCAGCTCTTGGATACATATGTATAAAAAGTTCACCAATAATCATGTACTATCAAGAGAGGAAATTATTTCTCTTTCTCCCTCAATTTTTTTTTATTTCTTCCTGAAATGGTGTGGCTGTTGAAATATACCGTGTATGGGCTTCTTTTTTCTTTTCTTCTCAATTTTGTGTAATGTTACTGTCAAAAAAAGTATTTCTTTTTTATTCTGAAGACCGCTTTATCCACCATTTTCATCTCAAAGAACTTATATTCGGTAAAAAGTTCTGTGTAAAAGAGAGCCAACACCATCTACAATATAATACCGGGAAACAATGATTCCGTATCAGCGTTGGGTTTTTAACCCAATTAGAACTTATTTCCAACCATCTTTGTTTGAATTTAATAAGGAAACTATATTACTATTATTTCAGCTAAGTGTTGGCTCTAGATATGATCTATTTTAGGACAACATGTGTCAACCTCAGTTAACATTTGTTAGTGATGGTTTCAGCACGAAAAGATAAGTTACACAGATGACATAAAATGCTGAAGATTGCAAGATACATGAGAAGGTCTACAATTTTGGCGAAGCCTGAAAATAAAAGAAGCGGAAGGGAAATAAGTGAAATACAGCAAGATAGTATAGCAACAGGGACATGTCCTTAATGATCGAAATCAGATGCAAATCTAGAATTTAATACATAAGTGAAATACATGCTGAAAGCAACATTTTTGGTTCATAAAGTGTGTGTGTGTGTGTGTGTGTGTGTGTGTGTGTGTGTGTGTGACCAACTTAGAACAGCCCCCTAATTCTAAATTAAGTAATGAGTGACCAACTACAAGAATTAGTACAAACAATGCCCTACAACTCCCCAAGTAGTTATAGACCAAAAAGTATAACACAAAAAGAGATAGGAAACATGCCCTCAAACATCCTTGCTTGCTAAAATGTTATAAGGAACAAAGATAATTTACCGTGTGTTTTGAATATACTGTCACTTTGGAGAACACTTTCAGCTATAACCACTCCGCTGCAAAGACAAACAGGAAAATAAGATCACTGAAGCTTAATATATTTCCGGCAATGTGGTAATGCAGAAGAATTGTCGCATTCAAAAGTTCAAGCTAACTAAGATGTGCGATGACATTTTTTTCTGACCACACAAGAACTGTAAGTATGGAAATGTCAAGATCTGAACATCAACTTTTGGATGAGATAGGTGTCGAAAATTATCTTTCATCACAAGCTTCAAAAATACTACAGTTCTTTCATTTGTTCTCAGAAACAATTTTTTTTTTTTTTTTTGCCCTTTTGGACAATTAAAATATGATGGGAAAACAAGTTGACCCAAAAGGAAAGGACAAAAAACAATCAGAAAAGGCACGAGAATGCTAAAACTCATTCTTACAGAAAGATGAAGATTAATCTATTAGCAGTATAATAATAGATAAGGAAGGTTCAAAAAAGACATGAGAATGTGAAAACTCGTTGTTACCTCAAGATGAAGATCAATGTATTAGCAATATAAGAAATCATTTCCCTGCAACAAATTTGACACATCATAAATACACAATACTGGAGTTGATATAACGGTAGAGAATCTAAACTAATGTAAACATAAAGAATATGTTGAATCCAATCAGTAAGTTGTGCTGTATTGGACCAATTGGTTGAATCCACCTATAATCATTTCAAATAAGAATATGTTTTTATTTCCAGGCTAATTTTTTAGTCAGGTTCAAATAAGAATATGTTTTTATTTCCAGGCTAATTTCCACCTGCGCAAACTCTTGCTGGGTTTCCAAATTTTGGAAATTGGTTTTTCCAAAATCCTACTTGAGAGAAGCTGACAGGCTGACTTAAAAGGTTCTTAATATTGTGTCCGGATAGTGGTATCACGTAAATGGTTGTCACAATATCTGCTGCTTAAATCAGGTTAGTTCGAATAAGTTTTGTTTTTTTAGAAACGATGCAACAGATTTTGAGTTTTAAAAAAATCATGAAAAGACATGCAATGATAGTCCTTGAGCAGAGAATAGTACCAAAAGTGGTGCAAGCTTTGCTGACTTTCACCCTTAAAGGCAGTTCGAGCGACAGCAGAGTAGAACCTGTCCATGCATCTCATATCAGGGGAGCTCTTTATGCAAATACTGTGATCAACTTTATGAAAAATAATGAAACCTACATCCCCAAAGTCATGACTGTCAAAACTCCGGAAACGTCAACTCCTTCTTGAGCCTAGCATAAAAAGTTTGCTCAGTGTTTTTCAGGAAAAAAAAAAAAAAATACTATCTGAAAGAAAAATGGAAGACTGTTATCTACTCATCAGCAAATTGAAGAAGTTCACATGAACTATTTTATGTTTTATCTGTTTGAATAAGAACTCAAAAACACAGAATATACTTATTGCATAAAACGTGTAAGAACAGGTAAATGGTACCAGTTGACAAATAACTTATACAAATTTTCACACTGTAGTCCTCCAAGTAGCAAATGCAACTCATATTCCCTAAAGTTATATTTCCCATATTTATGTGATGTTAGTCCAACTTATAAAATTTTACTCAACAATTAGCTTAAAAGATAACGATGTTTTGCAGCATAGATTACCAAATAGGGTCAAAGCATTATGAAGATTATAAATGATAAAAACAAGAAGATGAAAAAATGTATGATTACTCTAATGTCATAGCACGGTTATCATTTGGTATTGTGCTAATTTGAGTTAAAAAATGAAACGTCGTACCAACAAGAATTCCTCCATGTAGCATTAGTTTTTGGCTAATTTATCTGATGTCTCAGCAAAATTTGTTTGTAATGATTATCCTGTAGTTACTTGGAACAGAAGAAGTTCTCTTTCTTAAAATATTTGAGGATGCTTATAACACGGAGACTAGTGAATGGCTAATAAATGTTTGTCTTCAGGGATATCCTAATGACACAGATTAACAGGACACAATGACAACAAGGTCAAATTCAAGAAAACATGGCTTGAACCGCGTCAAAGCAACTAATTGTAAATCAGAATAGATAATAAAATCAACTTAGCATAAATTTGAGGTTCCCTTTAAAAACATATCACTAGTAATTCATCTTAAAATTGAAAGAAAAAAGAACCACATGATTAAGATGAATAGATTTGGTAAGGTTCATACTGTGAAGTAGGCTATGTAGCTCACAGCAAATGTCAAAGATATCTCAATAACAGTATCATTGAATATAAATCCCAGCCACACGACAGATGCTATTCCAAAAGCAAGACCAACACCTACACTGTACAGTGAAAGAAACAATTAAGCTTTATATATCAGGCATTACTGTCTATTGAAAGTATACGAACATACGCTCCAAGAGAGACTTGTGACAAGAATTTGATTAAGGCTCCCCAACTAAAGCTCCAGCCAAGAACCATGCGAAGAAATAACTGATAGACCACAATCGCTGTCCTGAGATCACAGAAAGAGTACTTTTAGTGAGAACACATAGGCCAATTATAAACAGATCAGAAGAAGAAATCAGACGCTGTTTGTTCCAAGTTAATAAGCTAGACATGCAGAACATGTGGGGCAATATTTCTCTGTGAAAACTGAAATAGTTATTACAGGAAAAATTGAAATATACCCATCATTCATTAAAGACTCTCCTTCAATTATAGTACTCAATTTTTTGCTAGCTCCCAGCTCTTTCAGAAGGGCCACAACAGCAACAGGATCAGTAGCACTGAGGAGACCGCCAAGCAGTAGCGATGTTTTCCAGCTCCAATTATAAGGAAAAACAAGCTGCAGTTTCCTAAATAGTCAGAATAACATGTTTATAGATGTCGACGGCATATAAATAGATTTAGTCAAACCTTTAAAGCAGCCCCGAGACAAAAGGTAGAAATTAGCACTCCAGGACCAGCAAGTAGAAACATTTGCATTATACACCTCTGTAGTGGGTGGGAAAACCATTAGTAAATGGTTCACTATAACATCTCCAATTACTAAAGTCTAAAATCCTTCGCATACTGAATAACAGAAAGGTACAAGGTGAAAAATAGTTGAAGCTGAAGGCATAATGCTAAACATAATGGGATTTTGCAATTTACAAGGCTATGTGCAAAAATATAGTTGAGCATATACTGCTGCTTTGCTACATCAATTAAGGAACAGTGATCACTCATAATCTTGCTATTGGGATTGGAACTTAAGATAAGAGACTAGTAACCATAACATTGCAGAACATAACAGAAATTTAAATTTAAATTGTGACACTCAACTTGAAAGCACAAGAAACTTATAGCTTGCCATCTGTTTCTAAGAATAGGATGAAATGCACCAGAACACCTTGAGAATCAAGAATGAGATAACACACAGCATACAGACAAACACAAGGTCACCCAGGACAAGTTGCCAGTTAAAGTCTTTAAGATCCAAAGCGAAACGAATTGACTTATGAGGTTAGAGCCTAGTCCCTATGACAGAGAAGGGTTATGAACAAATTTTCTATAAGGAGAGCTAGCACAAGAATGCGTATATACTTTGATCTCTTTCTTAACAGAAAAGACTGTTTAGTTCTTAAGATTCAATTTGAGCTTATAAAAAGAGATTATGATAGTTGTCCAAATAGCAAACATATGATGCTAAATATTTGACATGATCTTCCTCATTTTCCCTTTTATTCAGAGTTTAAAAAATTTGTGTTGGATATCAACATATTCCAGATCACCATAAATAATAGTCAGCTGGCGGCCATATCAGTAGATACTAGGAAAACCAACTCAATTTCGTACACCTTCTGTATTACAGAAAGGTATAGAGCAATTACGAAGCCTTTTAGCAAGACGGTCGAAGACAGAAGCAAGGAGAACACCAATGTGGCAGGAGAGGTATCTAGAGGTTCAGACAGGTTTAACTATCAGCCATACTCCATCGAAGTGTCCCATTAGTGTTATCTAAATGATAAAGCAAAGCGACTGAGCAAACATATAAAATTAGGCAATCCATCTTTAACAAGTGAGTATTTGTGAAGACGAGCTATAGTAACGAGGGTAAGTCAAACATTATCTGATGAAACTAATAAAACTAATAAAAGTCAAACATCTAGAAACGAGGGTAAGTATATACTATATTATCTGATGATAACTGTATACAAATATCTTTAGTAGATGGCGTAGTTTCCATATAAAAAGACGCTCACAGTAAGTTTGTTTCTACCGTTTCTACGTACATTGCAAAGACCCCCTTGTTCACTTCCCCAAACTGTCCATATATACATTATTCTGAGCTAATTGTTAAGCTTTGCAACAATATTTACGTCTTCAGAATTTTAAGCTTATAACAACTGATATTTACTGATTTACAAAGTACCAATTTACCTCTATAAACTCTGTTATAGTAAAATGTCTTCAAGGAACATAACCTCATTTCATACATAAATATACATAATTATAGTAGGATAGGTAAGTAAGAAAGCAAATTGGACATGACCATAATAAAAAGTTAACAGACAAGTTAAACAGAAGAACCTTTATCTGGTGCACTTCCATTGAAAACGAACTCTCAAAAAGAAGCGCAGGAAGGAAGATGGCCAAGAGAAGATCAGGATCAATATTTGACCCTACATAAGGAGCAAGGATCTTCTATTAACAGCTGAACGATTGCCAGATATAAAATGTGTTTTACAGAAAATTGCATAAGAGAACAATTTTCTTCCGACAACAGGTTTTGGCCTTTGGGAACTGTAAGGAAGGATGAATATTGACTTACATAGACGAATTCCATTGCCGATCTTTCCCAACCGGTTATGTGTTCCGTATTCTGAAATCAAGAGAATTAAGATCTCAATAGTTGACTAAAATCTTATCCTTCAGAGTTGAGAGACTTCCAGTAGTTCATAACAGTGTACGTCACAATGAACCATAAAATAAACCAATTACGAATTCAAATTCAAAAGAAAAAAAATAAGAGGAAGCATATAAACATGAAAAGAAGATTTTATTTCATACCACCTCGTTAGCATGAGAGAAAATGATATAGTACAATTTTGTCAGTGAATGTGACTCAAACATTCGGTTTCTTCCCCGGTCAAGAATTATATATATAAAAAAAAAAGCATCCAACTCTCGGTGAGGCTCAGTACCAATAGAATAAGTAACGATTACCTACCACACCTCTCCTGGACATGCATAATCCATACTTGATTTCACACGCACATCGTATTCCTTAAAGTAGTACGAAAGAAAATAACATATAATTCCAATCACTATTATTACTACATGAAAGTTAACTGGCACGGAAAGATAGCTGCTCTGCTCAAATCCATGCGAGGGAAAGGGAACATGACTAATTTGCGCCATAGCCGTGTTGATAGCAAGATAAATCATTTTCTCTACTCTCTATACAATCTTATCTCTCCTACCTAGTCCTGACTTAAGAAGAGTGATGATGATAGAACTAAGAGCTCTAAAATAAAACTGTCCCTAATTTCGATCAATTTTTAAGCTAGCCTGAATCTGATTTTGGCACCCATCACTCACATCTAAGTGAAACAAATGACGAGTAGCACAAAACGAATTTCCATTTAACATAACAACATCAATACCCAAAGAAAACCGTACAAGTATATCATTAAATACAGAATCTGATTTAAAGTTCAATTAGCAAAACACATATATAAACATAGAGAGAGAGAGAGAGAGAGAGAGAGAGAGAGAGAGAGAGAGAGAGAGAGAGAGAGAGAGAGAAACCTAAGGCGCCAAGGCCAATGCCGAGAACAAGCAGAGCGACGGTGTAGGGCACGCGCGTCCCCCTCAGAGCGTGGCGAGAAGCAATCCCCAACACCAAGCTGATCCCGACAAATATCACCGCGTCTGACGGATTACCGTCCGAAGAAGAAGAAGAAGAGCCCTCCTCCAATACTCTCAGCGGCAACGACGCCGTTCCGCTGGTGAAAATCGACGCCATGATTTCGAGCTTCAACAGTTAAAACCCCACACTCTTCACTCACTGACATGCAAAATGCAATCAATGCTTCTCGATTTTACAATACACGCAACTGATTTGGCAATTCCGCGAATTGGAATCTCAGCTGTGGTTTGTATAGTCAGATGAAGAGAGAGAGAGAGAGAGAGAGAGAGAGAGAGAGAAATCGTGGAAGATCAACAGAGTTGAGATTGCCGACTGCGTGTAATTCCTTCGGTGTACTGTGCAGCTAGTATCTACTGGCTACTGCTATTTAGAGGATGGAGTCTGATTCTGTGTAAAGAAAAAAATAAGGATCGATTGCATTTTTTGCATGAGCAGACCATATGTTAGGCCCTGTTTGGCATCAATGCTTCTGCTGTCAATTTGGAAAATACAGTACAAATGGAAAAAAAAGCTTAGTTGAATTTTTGATATGAACATGGGATATTAGCCGATTTATGTACTTGGATGACTTTTTTTTCTTTTTCTTTTTTTTTTTGTTAAAATTACAACCACTCCTGCATGAGGTAAGATCAATTTACGAAAAAACTCATCTTGTTTGCATAATTACATCTACCCTTCAACTCTGATTTTTTCTTACACTTCCGCTTTTATGGTGTCAAATTCAACATAATCATCTAGATTTCGTGGAATGTGCTCTAGTTTATACTTGTTTTGTGTAAAATACAGTTTCTGATGCACCAGAATCAGATATATTATACAAGCCAAAAAACACATATTATGATCGTCTTGCTTCAAAATGTGGAGTTCGAATGGGATAAAACGGGTACAAAAGTGATAATATTCCATATAATCTGGAAGATTCCACTAAATTTAAAACCGCAAGGGTGGACATGTAAGAAGATTTATAGTTGGAGGTGGTTTTAATTATCCAAACAGGAGGGGGATCTCGTAATTTGACCATACCTCAGGGGTGGTTGTAATTTACCCTATTTTTTTTCTTTTTCCTTTTTATAATCACTGACGTAGTATAAATTTTACGCTCGTGCAATATCTCGTAACTCGCACGACAAATATAAATTAGACTAATTAGGTCCAGTTTACCTACACATATATCAAATTACATTGGATTAAAGTGAGTTTGGACTTTTAAATTAATATCGCACTAATAACTAATTATTTAGTCAGTAAAATATTTAATTCGTTAGATTAAAAATGTGAATTATCTAAAAAGTTTTTTAGTTAACAAAATTAACATATTGTTTAAGGACAAGATTGTCTTTTCCTTTTGTAATCACTCCTCCTACGACGAAAGGGGAAGGGGTGCTACTAATTTAACCAAATAATTACATTTAATTACGATTTTTTTAAGTGTAGTGGCAAGCTTCATTAAACACAAATTTTATCAATCAAACATCTTTTTAGCCCTTACTATTTAGTTAACAGAGCTTAATAGCACTAAGCAAACGAGACCTAAGCTAATTCACACCTAGAAAATATTCGCAACACAATTTAAACTTAGGTCAATTAACACTGCAAGTTTTTTTTTTTTTCTCACCTACTAAATCTTTTGTTATGAAACATTTTATTAATGAAAAATTACAACTATCACTAAGGTAAGTTTAAATTACGAAAAAAATCATTTATGTTTGAGTAATTACAATTACCCTTTAATTTTGTATTGTCGTACGAAAAAATAAACCATTCAATAAATAAATTTGACACTGGAGATGCGAATGTGTAATTACCCAAAAACAAGATTTTTCTTTAATTTGACTTTTATTAGATTGGTCGTAATTTGTTCATTTATTAAATAGGATATATTGCGAGACGTTGTTCTTTTAAGTATTTAATAATGAATAAAAAAATATTTATTTAAGTGGGAGATCTAGCGTGACAGGCTGGTGATAATGACGAAATGATTTGTTAAAGTATAGTATGACATTGAAATTACGTGTATATTTTAGGACTTACCAATTTAATTATGCAACTAGCTAATAAGTTAAAAAAAATATATTTTATTTATTGATATTAAAAATTTAGTTAATAGATACGTGTTACACTCACGCTAGTGACACTCCTACTAGTCTCGCATGTGATAGTTGGGCAGTGCTTTTAATGATAAATGATTAAATATTGATTGGTTATTGTTTCATTTATTTATTTTTTTACTATATATAAGTAAGTTTTGTACAAAAATTAAAGAGGTTGGTACTTGGAATCACAACTATGTTTGGCCGGTTTTTTTTGGTAAATGTTTTTATTTCTTTTTTTAGAAAAAATGTTTTGGCAAAGAATTTAAGAAAAAAATATATTATTTTCTTTTTAGTTTTAATAAGGTACAATTAATATTGTAGCAAATAAATTATGTTGAAAAGTTTTGGGAGATAGATTGATATATGTTAATTTAACCACCACCAACGTTGGCTCTTCTCGAAGACCTTCCACAATTTCGATCGTTGGCAAATGTTGGTTTTTTGTATGGCCCGAATATGTTACGGGTCAGAAGCCCAATTTCTCTCCCTTATGATATATCATCATGAGAAGCCTAAGAGAGAGTTAGTGAGCCCAAGCCTGATTTGACCAAATCCATTCGTTTGATTTCTGGGGTTGATCTTGGCCGTTCATTCCCTCACCTAGGTCTTTCTTCATCTTCTCCGCCGCTCATGCGTCTGTCTTCTTCCTCCCTTGTACTGCCTTGACTCTGTTATGACTGGAGGTCAAAGCTTATGGTACATGGCTGACTTTGACCCTCCAGTACAGCCTTCACCGGCTATTTTTGACTTATGTCTCTATAAATACAGGTATTAAGGTTGGAAGAAAATAAGACTCTCTAAACCTAACTCGACCTAAGTCCTTCAATTTCTCTTTTGTGAGCTCCGAAAGGGGATTTTGGTGAGTGTGTAAGCTTGAGTGCTTGATATGTTCTTTCCTTTGTGGAATTCTGGGTGAAACTATGGTTTAAGTGAGAATGAGAATGAAGATCTAATCTTCTTATGGTACTCTGGTGGTGTATTGTGGAAATCCTGTGTGGAATCTCTGGTGTGAAATAATTGGAAGACTGAGCAGATATTATTATTATTCTCTTCAATTTATTCTCCCTGCTCTTCTTTTCTGCATTCACACTTGTATAACTTTCCCTTGCAGTAATCAATACTATTACTGTTAAAGGGGAATTTATACATATATATTTGATATGGAGATTGACAGAAAACCAACAGCAAACTATTTCATTCATCTAAAATCTCGGGGTTTGAGCCACGAGGAGACATTCCGAAGCTCAAGTTAGTTGGGAAGATAGTTCAATAAAGAGTAAAAGACGATGTGAGATCAATCTATTGCTAATGCGATTTAGTGTGTGTAGGAGTGTGTATTGTGTGTAAAATGTAAATAAAACGTACATTTTATAGTAGAAAATATGGTGTATTAATAAATCATGCATATTCTTGCGATTTTGACTTAAGATTGAGCCCATTAAACGTAATATTATTGGATCACGACACAAATGGACTTCCAGTCCAAATATTTATACGAATCCAATAAATTGCCAAATTGACCATATCATAAATATTATGAAAGAAGTTGACAAATAAGATAATATTTATTTTATTTTTGGATAAATTGGCATTTAACCTCTTTGTGTTTTAACTGTTTGATACATAGCCCCTTGTATTTGTAATAATAATTAGATGCCTACCGCAAGAAAAGAATCCATGAATTTAGGTTAAATTACAAAAAACGCACATATTCTTACTTTATCAAAACTTCTCAATGTTTGTTTTTGTTTTACACCGACCTTTTTATAGTGTGATTTTTCGCGGAATCTTTAATTCCAATGAATAATTTGTGAAAACTGTAAATTCTACTCTTACATGCGTGACATTTTTTTATGTTACTTTTTTAAGACAAAAATTAACCTGGATGGGTAAAATATATACTAAAAGTTGTAAATGTGATATTTAAGAAGAATAAAGATTCCGTGTAAAGGCCCCCTAAGGTTAAATTTTATCTTTAAAAACTAGCATAAATAAATGCCACGTATGTAGAGGTAAAACCGGTATTTTCCGGGAATAATCCATCGACTAAAAAAAAATTCTATAAAAAATCTCACCATAATGGGGGGACGACATTAAACGAAACAACGTCAGGGGATATTTATAATTACGGATAAATAGGAGTATTTTTTGTAATTTAACATAAGGTCAGGGGTTTTTTCGTAATTTACCCAAGTATCATATTGCACGTGTCTTGCTTTTCTTAAAGTAGAAAAAAGTATGATAGCAAAAGAATAGATATAGCATGGAGTAAATTTTATTAGACTCGTTCATTAAATCACATTTTTGCCTATGTAAATGTTTATCTATTTATTTATTATTATTATATAAAAGAAATTCAAACACTAAATCATATTTGCTTTGAATTCCTAGCAATTTCGTTCTCAAAATCCCACACAAAAAAACCAAATCAAATTAATAAAATAAAATAAATAAATGGAAACAATAGAAAAATCTTAATTAAATCCCGAAAAAAAAATGGATGTAGTAACGTTCGGAATCATCGTGGGTATAATAATCCTCTTTCTCTGCGCCGTTTGTTTCATCGCAATCGAGGGCACCTGCAAGAGGAAGTAACTAACCCCGCATTAAACCCTCGGCTCAATTTTTCTCTCTCCAAACACGCCCTTAGCCGCAAATGGGGGTTTTTTCAGATAAGCAGCGGCGGATCTGTTTCTGTTTCTGTTTCTGTTTGTTTGGCGTTTTGCTGGCGGTGGGGGTTGGATTCTCTGTGGCGGCACCTCACCAGTGCAGTGGACACGACCACCACCACCACCACGATCACCACCGCCACGTGGACGATGAGGATGTAGGGTTAATCGAGAAGAATGATCAACGGCGGCCGATGCTTCTTCCGGAAGAAATTGCCGAGGAGGAAGATCTGAAGATGATGTCAGCAATTGACGATCATCGCCATGGCTTTGATCATGTGCATCATGTGCATAACCATCATAGTCATGTGGAGCTTTCTGGACTTGGTAATTAAAAATCTTATCTTTTTTCTTTTTATTGGTAATGCATTTGTTAAGTGCAGTTTTGTTATGCTTAAAAATGTCGCAGTAATCGGATCGAATCGCTGCTTCGACTGATTTCTTATGTAGTATAATTGTGTTTCTGTTATCGACTGTGACTTTTGGCAGGTCTTTGGATCAATGCAATGGGTTGTTCGCTACTGGTTAGCTTGGCTTCGCTTATTTGCCTGATTTTGCTGCCTTTGATATTTAGTAAGTACTCTTTTTGTCTCATTACTTCGGTTTTTCTCGTTGTTCATGTAAAAGATGTCGGTTTTGCTTATAGATGTCTAACTAATATGTGGTGTTCGTTTCCTTGCAGTACAGGGGAAGCCATCAAAGGCAATTGTCGATTCTTTAGCATTGTTTGGGGTTCGATTTTCTTGTTTCTTTCTCTCTTCAATTTTTCGTACATGTTTTCTTATGTGAATATAATTTGTTAGTTTTTGAACTCCGTTTTTGGCTGTTGGTAATTTATAACCTGTGTTCAATTTTTTTTATCTTTCAATGTCTCTTAAGGTAAATGGTGGTGTATCATCCTGTACGGATGTTTTGGTATAGGATTACTTTGAGTTGCTCGATTTTGATCTTTTACGAACTTCTGTTATACAGGCTGGAGCCATGCTTGGTGATGCTTTTCTTCATCAATTACCACATGCTTTTGGTATGATTAATTAAAAAAGAAAAGAAAAGAAAGAATGAACGCTACTTTATTTGTTAATTTAAGTGTTCATATATTCGTCTCCTTTATTATTGTCTCTTGAAGTAATTTGCATCCGTTGAATCCTTTGGTGAATCCTTTCAATTTAATTTGGTGTGGTACGATGAATTCACATATGTACTCGTGCATAGGCTATAGCCATAGCCAGGATATAATGCACATAATACCATTTTCATCGTCTAGTGTTCTCATGCACCTAATGTAGGATGTGCAATAGAAATCTCCAGGACAAGTGGTCAAGTGGATCAATAGGGGTTCCTATTCTATAACACTAGGACATGATTTTAAGGTTCCATTAACTAGAGAACCATGTTAATGTCGTTGTTGTTTTTAAGACATTAAAAACTCTATCTTTGTGAGGACTGCCTAACTTCTGAGACATTCATAATGTGTACAACACTTGGAAATTCATTTATTCGGCGGCATATTATGGAATGCCAATCATGCCCGTCTATGTTTAGTGTCTACACAGAGAAATGTATTATGGTAATTGTATACTTTACGCCTGTAGAAAGATGGGTTAATAGTTGTTGATTCTGTATAGCCGAAAAAAAATTCCGCAAAACTTATCCTTGTATTTCAGTGTTTATAATTCCGAGGTTAAGATCAAAATTCTTTTCACTTGTTTAGTAATTATTTAAGATAAAATATCGTTACTTGTTTATAATTCTTTTAAGACGGTACCTTTAACACAATAGGAAAATACCTGGTCAATCATCTAGCAAGTTTTGAGTTTTTACTGTCCTATAAAAAAAAGTACCCTTTTTTTTTAAATATATTATTTTGCTGGCTATTTTGCCCATGTGATGCTGTTATAAATTTGATTTATCTTGTTTTTGCGTATTTAATAGCAGGTGGTGAGCATTCACACTCTCATGATGACCACGATCATCATCATTCTGACGTGGGACAGTCTCATTCACATTCCTTAAAGGATCTTTCCATTGGTTTGTCAATCTTGGGTGAGCATATTATACGACTTTCATTTATTTATTGTACAAATTATCTAAATTGAAGATATTGCTATTTTGTTAAAAAAAAAAAAATCCTATTGCTGGTTGCTGCAATATTATAACTCTGCAAATTGTTGTCGGAATTCATTATCTTTATCTCTACGATATTCTTTAAATAAAAAAAACAGACAATTTGACTATCTAAAGATATTTAAGATTTACTATGGAATAGAAATAATATTCAAACTGAAATGTGAAATTCGTATTGCAGCTGGAATTGTTGTGTTTCTTATTGTCGAGAAACTTGTGAGATACGTCGAAGCTTTTTCTGGAGGAGAAAATTCTTGGGGTCATCACCACCACCACCACCATAAGCAGACAAACAAATCGGACGATGATGATGAATTGTCTCCTGCTGAGAAAAAAGGAAAATTGACTGAAAAAATATCCGAAGAAAATGAATCGGATACAGCTACTGACCTCGATAAAACAAGCTCAAACGATGTTTTGCGTAAGGTAGGTTAAGAAGTTTCCAGAGACCCAAAATGGGAAGGATAAAAACGGATTCTTGCAAACAATGTGTTTGATGTTTCAAGTATGCAAGAACTTAAGAAACCGAATGGTTTTTTTCTCTTAACATTAAATTGTGTCCCAATACGCAGAGAAATACTCAAAGTAGTGCTCCCCAAGACGAACCTGTGAATGGAAATGTGGGGTCTATTAACAAGAAAGAAAAAGAACCTGTCAAGTCGCAGTCGAGTTTGGTGTTTGGTTACCTGAACCTCTTCTCAGATGGAGTGGTAAGTCATCTCTAGTTGTATTTCTATGTTGAATAGTTTCTAGACTTTAATAAAGAAGGAAATAATAATACATCTGGTTAATTGGCTCAGCATAATTTTACTGATGGGATGGCTTTGGGAAGTGCTTTCCTCCTTTACGGATCTGTTGGTGGATGGTCGAGAACTCTTTTCCTTCTTGCTCACGAGCTTCCTCAAGAGGTTCGATTTTTCTCCATCTTTTTTTGTTGCAAAAAAAAAAAAAAAAATAAGTGTGCGAATATCCTTGTGTTGAATTATATTTCTTTAATTTCCGGTTCTTGATTTTGAATAAATTTGTACTCCCGGATTAGTTGCTAATGATAGTCTCTATTTCATTGCCAGCTGTGCGACGACATCATATTTTCTTGAATTGTTTATACACAGTTATAATAAAATTAGTATCACTTAATGGTTTTGGTGCAGATTGGCGATTTTGGAATTTTGGTGAGATCTGGTTTTAGTGTCTCAAAAGCCCTCTTCTTTAACTTTCTATCGGCACTGGTGGCATTAGCAGGAACCGCTCTGGTACGTAGTCTCTTATATCTACGATAAGATCAAAATCTGCATTTTGAAGTACTGTCATTATTTAAAATACTAAATATCTACTAATTTGAGCACTGCTGACTATCTATATATATATATATATATATATATATATATATATATATATATATACAGGCTTTGATGTGGGGAAAGGATCCAGGGCAGTCTTCTTTGATTGAGGTGATAATTCCATATGATGTAGCAACTATACCAAGTTGTATTTTTTGTTTCCTCTAATGTTGTCCAATAGTGAAATGTTTATTTATTTATTAATTCTTTTTATACGCAGGGGTTTACTGCTGGGGGTTTCATGTATATTGCACTTGCTGGAGTGTTGGCAGAGATGAATAGTGGTGTCTCGACTTTGAGAAATACGACGATCCAATTAATATCTTTGCTGCTCGGTATGGCTGTTGCCCTTTGTATATCTCTTGTAGAATGATTTCTTGATTCTAATTCTTTAGATTCTTTTTCTTTTTTTATTGTTCGAGTTTTTCGAGACCACGTTAAGAGAAGTGTTAACACTTGGAAGTCTTCCACCAGATGTTGTATTAGCAGTTTAATTAAATATGATTGATCAAGAAATATTCGAAGGGGTGTTTTGTTTTTTAATTTCCCATTATACCATACATTATTAAACTTCCACCATGGTATTTCTTTAATTTAAAGAGTGGGGTATGAGTCTTGCTTCTTATAAGGCTGTGTTAATTAATAGGTGGTAACCGGTAACCGGCAAGTTTAGGTTCGTATCGATTGAAATTTTTAAACTTAGGGATTTCGAATATACATTCTAACATATTCATGTGTTTGGATTGAGTGAGTCCAAATAAAGAGGATTCAAAATGAGTGCGGATTTATGCAGCATGAAAACTTCAACTTCTTAAGTATCCGCGTTTCGGACATGTTTCGTGGCTGACATTCGAGGACACCTGAGGCGGATACCTTATAGGTCATTTTGTAAATTTTTGAAAAGTTAGAAACATGTTCGAATAGCGAATGTCCAAATATTTTGTTGCTTCCCTAATTATTTACATAGTTTAATGATCAATTACAAATTGTATAATAGTGTTTATTTTGAATATATTTGTATGAAAATATACAAAATGAATTTATATATACATAGAATCTTATATATGTTTATCTAGCATATTTATAAATATACTCATGTATTTTTAATATTTACACGTTTTTCTCAAAATTCAGTAATTTCGTATCCCCGTTTTTAGGATATGCCATTTTTATACGTTTGGTCTAATTTAGATAGACAGAATACATTTTATCCAATTTAAAGTGATCTAAACGGGAAGTAATTGAAATGTACCACAATTATTAAAACGAGTCATTCTGGACAAATTCAATCGATTTGTTACTATGAATTTGAAACTTTCTCCCAAATCCTTCCATCCAAATATCAACATAAAACTTTCCTAAATAAATTGATTTAATAATAAATTCTAAATCTTTAGCTGCTGTTTCGAATTATTCTCTCATGATGGATAAATATTCTCTGAATTATTTCCTTCTCATCAATTAAAAGCAGTTCTGTAAATAAAGAATACAACGGATAATTAAGATTTAGACTATGGTTCTTTTTTTGGCAATTATTCAAAAAATGAGGTTTTAATTTTATTTATAATTTCTATTCTAAGAAGATTAATTAAATAAAAGGACAAAGACCCAACCTATAAATTACTACAAAATTCATTTTTTTAGTGCGTCGTGTTAGGAGGTCCATAACCCATTTTCAACACGTCCACAAAATTGACCATTAACCGCAAATTATGTTCCACTTCTAATTCCAATTATCACATTTCAAAAAAAACAACACAAAAGCAAATAAAAAAAAAAAAACCAATCAAAAACATTTTTAAGGAAAAAAAAAAAAAAGAAAGAAAGAAGACGAAGAAGAAGCTTGGCCGCGCGCCGCCGGCACAATGAGGCTGTGGAAACGAGCCTCCGGCGCGCTAAAGGACCAGAACAGCATCTGGCAGGCCAACCTCTCCCGCCGCACCGCCCTCCGCAACCCGGACATAGAGAAGGCCGTCATCCGCGCCACCAGCCACCACGACTCCTCCTTCGACCGCCGCAGCGTCGACCGCGTCTGCGAGTGGCTCCGCCTCTCTCCGTTCAACCTCAAGCCCATCCTTTGGTCAATCTCCAACCGCATGGAGAACACCCGTAGCTGGGTCGTCGCCCTCAAAGGCCTCCACCTCATGCAAACCCTAACCAACTGCCGCACCCCCGCCGTGAAAAAAATCGGCCGCCTCCCCTTCGACCTCTCCAACTTCTCCGACGCCCACGGCCGCGCCGCCAAGACATGGCCCCTCAACGCCTTCGTCCGCGCCTACTACGCCTTCCTCGACCAGAAATCCACCGTCGTCTTCCAGCACGCCGCCGCCACCGCCGCGGAGAAAGGCGCGCCGCCGCCGCCGCCGTCGGCGGAGGCGGCGGAGCTCCTCATCGTGCAGGAGCTCGTGCTTCTGAAGAAGCTGCAGGGGTTGGTGGATCTGCTCATGCAGATCCGCCCCCAGGGGAGGGCGGCGTTCGCCCCCCTCGTGATCCACGTAATGGACGGAATCATAATCGAGATTTACGATCTATATAGCCGGATTTGCAGAGGCATCGCCGTCGTTCTGATGAACATCTACTCCGCCGGAAAAGCGGAGGCGGCGATGGCGCTCAACGTCGTAAAAAAAGCCAGCCAACAAGGCGAAGATCTCTCCTACTACTTCGAATTCTGCCAGGAGATCGGAGTTGTCAACGCCGCCGATTTCCCGGTGATCGACCGCATACCGGAGGAGGGCATACGCGAGCTCGAGCAGATCATCAGTGGCTTCTCCGACGGACCTCCGGCGAAGGAGTCGAAGCTCGAAGACGAGGAGGAGGAGAAATCCGCCATTGTTGTCGTTGACGAGGGAGGTAAGGGGATAAACAACAACAACAAATACAGGGATGATCTGAAGACGATAATCACAGACAATTGGGAGAAATTCGACGAAGATTTCGGCGCGAAAAACCCGTTCGCCGAAACCCTGTTGATTGATTACGTGGAGAGCAGCAAGATTCAAGAACCGCCGGATTTGATAACCTTCTTGTAGATTAATTAATTACTTATTGATTGGTTGATTGATTAAATTTAAATGGGGTATATGGATTTAATTATTTTTTTATTGAGAAAAAAGAAAAAAATTAAAAATGGAGAAGGGGGTGATCAAGAAAGGAAGTGTATGTAGTAGAAATAGATTGTGAGATTGGATTCCATTGTGGCTGTTTTCTTTTCTAAGGGGAATTCTTTTTTTTTTTTTTTGTTTATATGTACTTCTATATGTTTTTTTTCTTCAATTAGGTACATTGTAGAACAATTATTTAACTTGTGCGCGCATTTGTTATTTGCTATCAAAAATTGAAAAACACAAGTTCATTTGATGCTATGCTCGGAGAAATGAATCTGATGATTATTAACCGTTGATCTGTATATAATTACAAAGTGCTTAGTGGACGGTTATTTAACCACATCAATGGTTAAAAGTTACTCTATGTATATGGCGCTCTGTAGCATCTCAATGATCGGGGAAACATATATAATACGTTGTTGTAAATTTGTGTAATTACATTTTTTCCTTTTACACATTGTTGATACTAATAAAATTTCTCATATCCAACAAGTATTCATCTAAAAGGTTCGATTCTACCCTTATAATTTTATGTATGTTTTGATATTTAAAGTTGAGTTATAAATATTAAATGACTTTTTAGTTTTAAATTTTTGGTTTTTTGTTTTTTGATTTTTTAGTGTGTGTCTCACTTCGTTTACTTCTTTCTATGGTACAATATTTGCATCCTTAAAACCCCCTTTCAAACCCTCCGTTGAACGGTGGAAAGTTCATCTATCATTGGATTTTAGGCTGACGACGATGAACAAAACAGTATAATAATGATAAAAGAGAAAGACAACTCGAGAGAAATTATCAAAAAGTGTGCTATTGGTTGTGTAAGAACGTTAACCCTAATAGAGTTTGATACATTTGCTTCATCTGGAAAATTATTTATGGCTCTTTCCTAATTTACAATCATTATTTTCGTCTATGATTTATTATGATTACTCAATCAATGATTCTAATTTACAATATTTCATTATCTATTTGTGGTAGTTATCTCCGGATCTCATTCTTCAACGATCATGAGACCAGCTCGCCATCTATCGTGCCTTCCCTTCTCACTTCCACCTGCATTAGAAATGCACGCCGAGCTCTCAAGTGACTTGGTTATATATTCACGGCCTCTTTTGGGCGAGCTTTTGGCCCATCCCGACTATTGTAACTTATTAGAGCGGGCTCTTGGCCCACTTTAGTTTTCGAGATCTGTCGAGCGAACTTTGCGGCCCAGTTTACTCCCTTCACTTTATTGGGCTTCTAGCCCATTATACTGAAACACGTGTATATAGAAGTTCCCGTGCATCTTAGAATTACTGCTGAGTTTTATTTTCCTTGAAAAATAAATAGAGCATGAGAGAAAATTATGTGGAGTAAATTTGATAAAATGCTTCCTTTTGTTTTGAAATAGACAAATAGGCTACCAAATGACCCAACTACACAAATCAAATAATGTAAATTAATCAAATTCAACAAAACAAAATTATAAATTTTAGAAAAGTAAAATTTAAGGTGAAGTTTAGAATGCTTGAAGATTTTACTTTGTAACTTTGAATACTTCTTCTATCAATAACATTTTGTTTATGAACTACAATGCTTATGTACGAAGGTATCGTTTGCTTACATATATTAGATTAAATCGGATTAAATTAGATTGAACTAATTTCCTTATCTAGTCAATAGATTGTTCGTTTCATTAAATTACATCTTGTATTAAATTTGTTAAATTCTAGTATTATGTATAATATATGTAATTGCGCGGGGATTGTGTTACTAATTTATTGACTCCTATTCACTCCTAGCATTTATCCGCTCCTACTATTTGGTCAATCCAACCTAATAGTAGAAAGCAAACGAGGCCTAAACTTTTCTATTTACGAAATTCAGGTCCAACCCTAGTGAAAATAATAGAACAACAAACACGGCAAATATTCGTATTCTTTAGTTCTGCAACATTATTGTCCATGATAAGAAGCAGCTTGGCAAATCCTCACCAGGAACCGAAAGAAATCGACTACGGTAACTACAGCAGTCGTAATAAATGAAGATTCCGCATCAACTCAAGTAGATACAGGAGGGAAAAAAATATATAAAATTAATAACAAGGTTAAACAAGTAATATAGATTTCCAAGAATGTAAATTAATATCAAAATCATCCATTTAACTAGAAACAAAATAAATAATCCCATAATTCATATCCTACCCTCAAACGGCCAGAAAGTACAGCTAGCCCATGTAGCAAAACAAAGGAGGAATTGATTAACAACGCCTTTTTCAAGAACCACAAATAGCCAAGGGGGTGTTTTCAAACATGTATCGCGAACTCGAAAAAAAAAATTCAAGTACAAAAGTACCGAGCAAATAAATGCACAAGGCCGCAGAATATATATACATGACAAAACGGGCCCCAAATGCAGTGGCAAAACCCAGTTGTAATGCCAGGGAGGAATTGTGCAGCAGCGAGCGAAAAATCTACCTGATAACCACAAACTTGTTGGTGCCATGTTTTGCCCAGAAACTCTTTAAGTCGATAGGGTTAGCAAAGATATATCCTTCGCCCGCGAGTTTTTCCAGAACCTTCTTGAAAGCACCCTGGCTCATCTTCCGTCCAGCAATGCGGGCCCCACGTCTCTTTGTGCTCATAGGCAACGGGTACATTGATATCGTCGTTGTGCAGCAAGCAGATTGCCACCCCCCACACCCCCATCTGTAACACTGCTGTGGCTGACCAGTACACGAGCAGACGGGTATGGGTATACCCGTAATATCCATGTCAACCCCGTCTATTACAACTTCGATATTCTTCTTCGCAGGTTTCGCACGTTGTACAGATGGGTTGCCGCTGCTGTTTTCTTTTGCAGGCCCCTTTCTTGGTTTCTTCCCCTTTGGAGCTTTGGGGGTGGAAGAGGCGGCGGAGGCCCGTTTCTTGGTGGTCCCGGGTTCTTTCTTGACGGGCGGGTCTTCCATGACGGGCCGGGCCTCTTCGGTGGGTTCGGGTTGCTGGATCATCTGCATTGGAACATGGTGGGACCCGGAAGATTCGGCTAGGTTGGGATTGTAATGGTTGTTGGAGAATATCTGCATGAGTTTCCCTCTGTGATTTATCCAATCCTCTCGGACGTATTCCATGCGAGTCAAAGGTGGTTCGGTTACGACACAGTCGCGGGGGTGGAAGGCACCGTTTGTCGAGACCATTACTGGATGGTCTCGCCCTGTCAGGAACGACGGCTTCGTGTCTCGTTCGGCCATTGATTGCATTAGATTGAGACCGATTTGCCCTTTCATAGGCGCGGGCGGTTCGTAATAACCCCAATTCCTCAAATTGTCTTCGTCCATAATGGTGAAAACTACAGATTGAGGAAGATAAATATTGAAGTCATTAATTAAGTCTTGAAAAGTAACTCGATTTTACCACCGTTAGGGATTTTTTTTTTCGTTGACAAAAGCATGTGACAACGAAAATCACGAGAAATTCATGCAGAAGAGGCAATCAAACAAATAATCAATAAATAATCAGATCGAAAAATACCAAATTTGCTCTGGATTAGAAATGATGACAATGTGAACATGCCAAAATCACGAGAAATCAATGCAGAAGACGCAATCAGCCAAACAATCGGTAAATAATTAGATCAATAATTCAATACATACCAAATTTGCTCTGCTTTACGAATGACGACAACGTGAACACGACAAAAATCAGCATCCAAAAGCATGACAGCGCAACATTGGCTAAATTTAAATCAACTCATAGTTCCGACACCGAGTATTTTCGATTCATTTGTAACTGTAATTAAGGTGAAACCTTTCGAGAAACAAAGAGTACCGATTACAAACGACAAAAAGGCAAACATGCCAATCGAGCCAAAATCGGCATCCAAAACTACGACCTTGCATTATTACCTAAATTGAAATCGAACCACCGTTCCAAATCCGGGTGTAATTCGATTCATTTCTAACTTTAATTCAGGTGAATTTTCAGAAGAAACAAAAAGCGCGATTAATGTCGATATTCGGGGACGAATCACAAAGCCCATGCTTCTAAACCAATGAAAATTAGCGACAAAAATGAAAATCGATAAGATCTGAAACAGAAATGGAAATAATAGCAACGAGATCAACATTTTCGTTTTCCCCAAAAAATAAATTAAGCAGGAAAACAGCAAATCGAACAGATCCTTTCCCATTTGAGGAAAATCGGCGACGAAAACACACGCAGCAAATCATTTGATGAAATTTACGCAAAGGCGGTGAAAATTGAGATTCGTGCACAAAAGATTCAATCTTTGACATTTCGAAACAGATCTGGGTCACAAATTCATGTAATAACAGACTGCGATAACAATTAGCAAGGAAATGGAACAAATCAGAACATCGATTTCATGCTGTTTTCATATTTATTCAAAAAATTAAAACCATAAAAACATTTTCAAATGGATAAATAGGAAAGAGAGAGGGGAGAGAGAAGCCGGATATTATTTTTTTGAATGAGAGAGGGAGAGAGAGAGAGAGAGAAAGAGAGAGATAGATGGGGAGAGAGAGAGAGAGAGAGAGAGAGAGAGAGAGAGAGAGAGAGAGAGAGAACTTACTTGGGTAAACGGCTCTTTTAGGTTTTTTTCCTTCTGAGAGAGAGAGAGGAGAGAGGAGAGAGAATTGAGAAGGGAAGAGAGAGAAGATTGAAAGAAACCAGAGAGAGAGAGAGAGGAGAGAGAAAGGGCACTCAAAATTGGGTTTTCGTCAAATAGATTTCCACATTTAATAAAAAAAACAAATCTTTGACAGGAAGATATTATTAAACTTTATTACTACACTTGTTGTTTAAAATTATGTTTTGCCCTATCATTTATAATCTATATATCTATTTAACTTTTGAAAAATAAGTACCTACATAACTCATTTTCTAAACTTTGTGCTAGGTGTTTGTCAAAAGTCTACCGTTTCTAATTAACTGTCGTTTCTTACCGTTTTTAATTAATTGTCGTTTTTCAGCTTTGCACAAGTAATAAAAATGTCAATAAACGTGTCTTGATTTGAGAACAAATATATTAAAAAGTCTAAAATAACCCTGATTGTTTAATGATATAATAAGAGATAGTTAATATTCAGAGTTGAATTAATAAGGTTAAAATCGGAAAAAAAAAACATTATTGAAAAAATAAAATAATAGATAATATGGAACACAATTAAAAAAAAATTACTACAAAGCAGAGAAAGTTTGTTATTTTCCTTAACCTTGTTCAACATGAACTACTATTTATATATTTTATATTTGGTTAGTCCAACAAATTTTCGATCAGAAAATGTGAAAACAAATTGAAATATTACATCATTTAATCCAATCACGCAATTGAGTTATCGTAAGATCGTTTAATATTACGTTGACTTATCTTATTTTGCCAGCTAAATAAGAACGCATGGAGATATGCGGTACTTATCAGTGATGTATAATTCTCTTTAATGATTATAAATAAAAACTATTTACTTTATAACAAAAGATATTTTTTTTGTGCTACATAAAAGTTTAAAAAAAGGGAATATATCAACTCAATATAAAATAAAAAAATATATTTTTCGTAAATAATCTTCTCTTCTAAAAGATAAAAATGGTGAATAATGTTCTAATATTTTGATAGAATAATATAATAATTCGCAAACACATAAATGAAATATTCTAATCGCATTGTTTCGAAAGTTTTTTCTTCCAATTCTACCCTCTGTCCTAAAGAGTACGTATGTGGGCTTTAACAGAGTTTTGAGGGCCCAACTGACCTGTTGAGGAGATAAATTAATATTAGAAATAAAAGTGATTTTATTTCCAACAAATAATTTAACATGAAAAGACAGTAAATAAATAAATAAATAATAATAAAATATTTCGGAAAATTTTAGTATACGAAATTATTTAATATGAAATTAGAGTACAATAAAAATCATTCAAAAAGGTCATATTATTAAGGACTCCATATATATACGTTACCAGTATAGTCGGCCATCAGTCAGTACAAGTGGGACATTTGTCAAGGCCCAATGAATACAGGAGGGCCCAAAACAATTAATAAATAAATAAATATTGGTTATGATTTTTTTTTTTTTAAGAAAATATTAAAATTTTAACAATTTTTTTTGCTTAAGATATGATTTTTTCAACATCTAAGTGGGTGAGTTGGGCCGAGTTCGAGTTTTAGGGGGCTCGAAACCGACACGCTAAGAGGCGGAGCTTGGTCCGGAGTGGATCAGGACCAAAAATGAATTTTTCAATTTCCTTTTTTTAATTAGAAAAGGAGAGGTAAATTTAAAGGACTCGAGCTTATCATCATCATCGTCGTTGGCAACGATGCGGTCGTCTTTGTTTCGGCACTCAGTTCTCGTCTAATCTCCCAAGAGCATTTGATATTCGAAATTGTTGGCATTGATTTTGCTTTTTCTTTCAACCAGTAAATACATATTTCTAAAGTTTAAAATATTTTAATAATGACAAAAAATGTCTATTATATTTTAATTCAATTTATACTACATTCATTAAAATTTTAAATTCTAATGATTACTTATTTATAGTTAAATTTTTTAAAAATAATTTCGAGGGTGCAACAGTACCCTCAAACTCGTCCTAGTTAGGGGCCAGGGAGATTTGATGCTACACCGAGTCATATATATCGTATGCTTTTTAATCGTTGATCTCCACATAATTACACACACCCATGTGTCTGTTTGCTCAGTGGGCGGTTATGTAACCCCATAAACAGTTAAAAAGCACCCGATATCTATAACCTATTGTAGCATCTAAACCCCTATCTATAGACCAGTAATTACTTTAATGGGCAAATTACGGCCACCCCTAAGTTATGGTCAAATTACGAAACCCCCCTCTTGTTTGGGTAATTACAGTCACCCCCTCAACTATGTATTATCTTACGAAAATACCCCTCCAGAGGTAAATTTAGGGATGTTAAATCGGTAAAATCGAACCAAAATTTCAGTACGCCAACATTTCATACCGTTTACCCGAACTGAATGTACGTTTACGTTTTGGTTCGTAAATAACATAATTATATGAATTTTATGTAAAAATATTTAAAATGAAGGGGTTGGCTGTAATTACCCAAACAAGATGGGTTTTTTTTCGTAATTTAACCATACCTCAGGGGTGGCCGTAATTTGCCCTTATTTTAATATATATATTGTCTATAAACTCTCGCCCCCTCAGCAGAATCTAATGCATGGATATGGTAGTTGGCCAAGAAACATCGTACATATATTAATTAATTAACTAGTTCTATTTAACCCTTGTAAGAACATACCCTAAAGTGCTTTCCACCTTTACCTTAGAAATTGCCGGGACACTTTGCGCGTGTTTGCATTTAAGATTTTGAATTTAATCACCAAAAAATGTCGAAAACAAAAAAAACCACTTGATTAATATATACACATTAATTATATAATTGCATGATGATAAAAAGCATGGGCTGATTATTTTAATCCAAAACAAAAAGAACTCATGCATGCTGCCATGCACAGCGATACTTTTGCTAGATGTATATTACGTACCTAGTTATTAGCAGAGACGCCCCTTTATAATCTCTAATTGTCGAAAAAACCTCTATGTTAAAAGAATTAGCAATAAACCCCCTATGTTACGTTTTACAAAGCACAGCTCCTTATATCAAAATTGTTTTTCGACTTAAATGAAATGACAAAATTACCCCTAATAATTTAAAAAAAATATATTTCAATTTAAATACAGAAAAGGAATTTTTTTATGATAAATATAAAAGAGCAATTATGAAACTTTATTTTGGGTCTTACAAAATTTATGGGATGAATTTATAATTTACTAAATTTATGTTTTAAGGGTATTTTGGTCTTTTCTGGTAAAAAAATATGCCCCAAGTCGCAGGGCCTTATTGGCTTTGACTAATTTTTATAGGGGGGTTTTGCTAATAACACGAGGTCTTTTTCGGCAATTAGATATTGCACAGGGTGATTCTTGCAAAAACCCCATTGTAATAGCAGATCATGCACACAGCTACTCGATTTTATTAATTCAGATAATTTTTCTTCTATATTCAGTGGCACAATGCGTGTGAACTGTATTAATTACTTACATATACGTGTATCTATATATATATATGCGAATATTAAGCTAATTAGACCGATCTTTCTTGACAAACCCTTAATCCTGTCGAACTTTCTTGATTGAAAAAAAAAAGAATTAATTAATGTCTCAGTTGGATATGAGTGGGTGTAGGAAGAGGAGGAGAGGGGAGAGGGTGTTCAAATTCAAGGTGTTCGGAGAGAGGGGTTACCCGGCGGAGTTTGGCGGCGGCGGCGGCGGCCGAGGTTCGTTTCAAGAAAACGTGAGAGCGCTTTTGGAGTATGGTCACGTGGAGAGTGGCGCGTGCGGACCACTTCCCAGCTGGTCCTTCCAGCTCGAAGTTTGCCGGCATCCTTTGCTCCATTTGTTTCTCTTCGTCGTCGAAGAGCCCGTCGAGCTTTCGCCTGAGCTCCGTTGCAAGTACTGTCACTACATAGGTAGAGTAATATATATGCATATATGTATATATGTAGGGAAATTTACTGTTTCAATATCCCTCAAGTCTGCAATTATTTCATATTTGGTCCATCGTGTCTACAAAAGAACACATTTGGTCCCTCACGATTCAATAATTTGATCATTTTTGGTGATTTCCGTCAATTTACCTTTAGTCAGTTAGTTACGGTAGTGATGGACACATGTTTGATTCCGTTAGTTTTAATAGAAAATTGATGGAAATGATTAAAAATGTTGAATTTTTAAAACATGAGGGACCAAATGTATTTTTTGTGAACATGGGGACCAAATGTCAAATTTATTCAAACTTAAGGGGTGAAAACTGTATTTTTCCATATATATATACATATTTCTATTTAAATTTTATATACTCTTGGATTGAAAATTTAAGTTAAAGGATAAATTACGAAACCCCCTGAACTTAGGTTAAATAACAAAAAACACCCCTACCTATTCGTAATTACCAAAAACCCATTGATGCCTGTTTCCATCTTACACCAACCCCTTATAGTGTGTGACTTTTCACATTTTTTTTATTCCATGGAAATATAGACTTTACACAATTTTAGAAATTTTCTTTTATTTCTTACCTATTTAACAAAATGTATAATAGGTTGTACACATTTTCTGTTAAAAAAATCGATAAACAGTTAATCGGAGGGGGATTTCAGATAGATGAGGTGTTTTTCATTATTTAGCCTAAGTTTAGGGGGTTTTCGTAATTTACCCTAAATTAAATGATTAAAAAGAGGGCTAATTTTTTTTATTATTAGGGATTGGGGGGTTAATGCCCCCAAATTTGATAATTATCTTTTTTTTTTTTTTTTATGATGATTAAATTGTAGCTCAGGCTGGGGGCACCACATGATCTGCAATAAAAAGTACCATTTCCTATTGCCATCAAAGGCAAATTCAGGTGGGCAATACTCAAAGTCAAACTTGATAGAACTGCAGGGAGAAAACCACACACTCCACGGTGTGTTCCACTCCAATGGCTTCGGCCATTTGCTCTGCATCAACGGCTCCAAAACCGGGTCGAACTTGACGGGTTATCAAATCATGGAGTTTTGGGATCGTTTGTGCTCCGGCTTAGGAGCAAGGTTTCGTACAAATCCAATCTTATAATATCAAATCACGGCATAATATTTGAGTTTATTGCATGCATGCATCTAGTACTTCTGTGTTATATCGAATTGCTAAACAAGTCCTTTGTGTTAGAAATATTAGCAATAAACCCTATAATTGCATTTTTTTAAAGCACACAACCCCCTAAATGGTAAGTTTTTAGGGGTATTTTGCTAATAAAAAAAAATCATAGGGGATTTTTACTGAAACTAATACTAATACTAATACATAAGATTACTGAATATACAATGAACTCGAAATAATTTGGTCTAATAATATATATTCATGCAGGAAAGTGAGTTTAAAAGATGTGGCGAAGAAGATGGGCATGGATCTAAGGCTGCTCCACACGGTGGCCTCCGGCAAACCATGGTTCGGCCAATGGGGCTACGCCTTCGGCCGCGGGACACACGGAGTCAACAATCAAGAAACCTATCAAAGTGCTATAAAAGCCATCCAAAGCATCCCGCTAACCCTAATCGCGCACCAACTCGGATTCTTCATGAGCTCCCAATACGAGATTATCCAAAACATATTGCCTAGGTACCAACTCTTGTCCGGCCATTCGTTGATCACACTAGGCGATCTCTTCCACTTCATGCTGGAGCTCAAACTCCGAATTCCGAAAGAAACCAACGTTAGTAGTTCTCACTACCCGGGAATCATGTCGGACGCTTCGTGTAGATGGTCGCCCAAACGGGTCGAAATGGCGATCCATGTAGTTGTCGAAGCCCTAAAACGGGCCGAGTTTCAGTGGGTTTCTAGACAGCACGTGCGTGACGTGGCGCGGGCCTACATAGGCGACACGGGCTTATTGGATTTTGTCCTTAAATCGTTAGGCAACCATTTGGTGGGGAAGTACTTTGTTCGTCGTTGCCTAAATCCCGTCACTAAAGTGTTGGAGTATTGCTTGGAAGATGTTTCGAGGGCTTTCCCGATGCAAGAGCCCCTTTTAGTGAAGGCTCAACATAAGGTTTCGTGGGCCCAACTTATGAAGGACATGTTCTACATGTACGTAAACATTCTCCGAGACGATCGTCATCAAAACGGATCGGTGTTTGCTACTATTGGAGTGGCTTCAAGAATCATTCTTGATTCCAAGTACCTCGTTAAGGAATATCACGCCGTAAAGGCAATGAACGACGAAACAAACAAGACGAAGATTGTCTATTGCGCGGTTGTCCTAATAAACGAGCAAGAACAAGAGACAACCACAACAACACCGTACCATTGTTTTGCATTGAGAAATAGTGCAATATTCGATGACCTAAAATACGAAGTCGAGAAGATGTTTAGGGAGACTTATTTGGGGTTGAGGAACTTTGTAGCGACGTCGATAAGAAATATGAATCCGAAAGGATCGGATTTGGTCTTCAAGGCGGTAAAATCGGGTAGTAAAATCGAGTTTGAGTGCATTCAAGAACTAGGGATTATTTGTGAAGGGCTTACAACAATGGATGTGGACTGTGTTTGCGGCGCTAAAGAAGACGACGGAGAGCGAATGGTGGCATGCGACGTGTGTCAAGTTTGGCAGCACACGCGGTGCGTACAAATCCCGGAGAGTGATCAAGTTCCTACTATATTTCTGTGTAGTGCTTGTGAGCAAGGTATCTTGAGCTTACCTTGTTTGCCATAGTTGCTTATATACATATGCATGCTTAATTAGTCTTTCTTTGGAAGTTGTTTATTTCTTTTTTCATTCTAAAATTCTCTGTATGCTACACCTGGTTATTTACACTGAGTGAATTTGAACTGTAGATCTGCACATAATCACACACACCCATGTGCATGTGTGCTTAGTGGGTAGTTATTTAATCAAATATATCGCTCAAATTCACCCGGTGTAAATAACCAGGTGTAGCATCTAACATCCTTCTATTTTACGTTGTAATGATAAATATGAAAATAAATTTAAATTTAAATTAAATAAGAGTATAGAGAAAAACAAAAAGCTAAATGGGACAAAACTAATATTAAAAAAAAATGGGGGGCCACAATTTATTTATTCAAAATATCACAAAATAATTACGTACCTATATGTTTATTAGCACACATCGAGAAAAAAAAAAACAGGAAGAAAAGAATAATTGTTCGATATCGTGCGAAAACACGAACCTTGAATATTTTTTATGTAATGCATGTAAAGCCGGGCGATCGATACTTTTATTACTGTGTTTTCTTGTTGAGGCCGAAAGAAGAGAGAATCGACGAAACTCCACAAGTGATGAATGCAATGAGAAGAAATATTGCTGGGATATAAGCTCTGCTGAAGAAATTATCCAGTTTTGTTCTGAAAGGTGAAAGACTAGTGTCTTCAAAATATTTTTCATACGCGTCCTCCAATTTATCAATATTATTCATGAGATCTAGAGTCGCACCGAATATAGCACCAACCCCCGTCGCTATAAGCGACAAAATAACCTGTCGAAAAAAAAATATTTATACATTCAACAATATATTATATTACCGTTTGGCTAAACGTATTTTAAACAACTGATCGATAAACTCTTGCATCTGATAAGTTAATATATCTTATTTTTAAAATAGGCAAATTGCACTTCGCCTCCTCAAAAGAATCCCTTTTTTGCACTTTCCCCCCTCAAAATACCAAAATGAGACTGTCCCCCTTCGAAATATACATATCGGTGCACTTTGTCCCCAAATGTGTATTCCCGGTCTAAGTCTCGCCGAATTAAAGGTTGAAATTGCAAAAATAAAAAAAATTCTAGGGGGCAAACTGCATTTTGTCCTATATTATACTACCGGCTAACTTCTTTTAAACAACTGATAAAGTACCTTACGTGTGATAAGTTGACATATCTTATTTTTAAAATTAATTTTCGTGAAGTATTTGAATAATAAGTTTATAAGTTATTTTTACTCGTTATCGGATATTAAATAAAAAAAATCTAGTCACGTGCATACACGTAAGTATATCATTTGATATTTGCTATATATTTGAAGTTCACATTATATATTAAGTTAGTAACTCTGCCCCATCAAATATTTAAAACCAAAATATTAATTTTAATAAGGGCAAATTGAACATCACCCCCTAAAAATTTCTAATTTTCGCACTTTACCCCTCAAAATTTTATAAACTGAATGCCGCCCTTCAAAATGTTATCCTTGTTGCACATTGCCCCCATAACAACATTTCAATGGATTATTCATCGGGATTTGAGTATTTTGTGCACATTGCCCCTTTATATGTTATTTTTGTTTCACGTTACCCCTAAAAAACACTATCTTTTTGCACATTGCGCCTTTAAAATGTTATTTTTGTTGCACAATGCCCACAAAAAAATGGCTTATGGGGCAAAGTGCAACCAAAATAATATTTTGAAGGGGGATTATCCAGTTTCTGAATTTTTTGGGAGAAAAATGCAAAAATGGGAAATTTGTAGGGGTGAAGTGCATTTTGTCCTTTTAATAATAATATTTGGAAGGAACTAATTAATTATTTTTCATATAAATAAATTACTAAATTATCACTAGGAGAAAAGTAAATATGGGGAAGTTTGACAAAACCTTGTCTCCAACAAACTCATAAACCACAAGTGTGGGATGATTAACAGTCAAACGTTTCCCTGACATCACTTGATATATCGAATATCCCAATTGCAATAAGGTATATGCCATTCCTATGACAGCTGTTGAAAGTCCATACCTGTATATATTCATTATTCAATCAACCGTGGTAAAAATAAAAAAAAGTCTATCCATAATTGCAAAAAACATCCCTAACATTTATTGTTGTATTTACATTATATTGTCATCTTACAGAGTGAGTTTTGACGAAATCTTTTTTATTCCATGAAACATTTCTCAAAATACCAATTTTACCCTCGTACGGGCTTTTTTAATAATTTTATTTGGGGTTTGTAATATTTTCAGAAGTACTGAATAGCTAATTCTAATTTTGTTTAAAAAAATCAATTTTTTAAAGATTTGAATAAATTTTTGGATAAAATGTACTTTGCCCCCTATAAATTTATGTTTTTCGCACTTTCCACGTAAAAATAAAAAAATGGATATCCCTCCTTCGATATATTATATTGATTACACTTTGTCCCATTAGCTAATTTTTGGAGGGCATTGTGCAACAAAAATAACATTTTAAAGAGGCAATGTGCAAAAAGGTAATGTTTTTAAGGGCCAAAGTGTAATAAAAATAACATTTAAAGGGGCAACGTGCAAAAAAAAATCCTCAATTCCTATGAATAATCAATAATCCATCGAAATTTTGCTATCAAGGTAGTGCAACAAAAATAATATTTTGAAGGCGGACACTCACGTACTTGTAAAAATTTTGAGGAGGTAAAGTGCGAAAATTAGAAATTTACAGGGGGTGATGTACAGTTTGCCCATATATATATTGGCAAATTACAGCCACCCCTAAGTTGTGGTCAAATTACAAAACCCCCTTTCTGCTTGGGTAATTACAGCCAACCCTCAATTATGTATTATCTTACAAAAATACCCCTCCAGAGGTAAGTCTATGGATGTAAAATCGGTAAAATCGAACCGAAATTTCGGTACGCCAACATTTCATGCCGTTCACCGAACTGAATATTTAAAAAGAGGGGTGGCTCACTGGCTGTAATTATCCAAACAAGGTTGTTTTTTTTTTTCTTCGTAATTTGGCCATACCTAGGGGTGGCCGTAATTTGCCCCATATATATATACTTTAAGGGTGGAAACTGCATTTAACTCTAATTAATATATTGTTAAGTATTAATGAACTCACCGATAGGCGTAAATATCGTTGAATCGAATACTGATCACCTCGACTCTGTCGTAGTCGTTGCCGTCAAATCCGAAGAAGGTGGTGGAGTTGGAAGGTGTAAGGTCAACCGTGTCGATTCTGATGGAGGTGGAGTTGGAAGCCATAAGGCTGATTGACAGTATGAGACAAACCAGTGTGATGATCCTCACAACCAAGGCTATTATAGGCAGTGACAGCGACAGCGACAAATTTAATGAAGCTGGTGGCGCCGCCTGTTCTTGAGCCGCGGCTTGGGCGGAATATGGCTCAGCTACTTCATGAGTTTTATCAGCTCGATCAGCAGCTTGAGATTCGCTGTCCACTGACATTTGTGTTGAAGGAGTTGATGACTGAGCCATATATTTGTTTGAGAGAAAAAAAAAAAAAAAAAGCGGGGGAAAAATCTTATTACACGATTCAAATAATTGTCTATAATTATGTGGCAACAGTTAATTTATAAGTACAACTATTCGGTAAGTTCGAGGAGAGTACCGTACCTTACAACTACAGATTTTGGCAAGATGTGTCTGTTTCTGTATGCGGATGATTGGATGCGTTACGAATTGTGAAAAATGGGCCCCTATTTGTATTGTATAATATACACATTAATTATTTCTAACGAGCACGAATGCACAAGATTTTTTGATTAGCAGTTAAGAATTTTGGAAAAAATATGACTAAAATATTGACGAAGTTAATGTGAAATAAAAGTTTATGGGTTCGAGGGAGAGGCCTGAAATTTATTTTGAAAATAGTATAAAAATATTATTGAACAAGTAAATATATGTAACCTTTGTTTAAATATAAGAAAATAAAATATAGTATATTTCAACTTGCCAAAAAAAAAAAAATTGTCAAAACTCTTTTAAGTTATTAAAAAATGCAAAGATTGCTGGAAAAAAAGTTATAAAAATTTGACAGAAGAACTCAATATCTAACTAATTGTAATTGATCTTAGACCTTTCATTCACATCAAATGCTAGAATAAGTGTAAAAATTTTCAAGAAATACTTAAACTATGTAAAATGATATATTTATAGTTATTCCAATTGTTTAACTATTTATAAATTTTAAATATCATTTAATATTATGCCTAGCATATATATAAACAGTAGAAAACACTATTTGGGGTCCCTAATTTTTTCAAAAAAAGGGCCCGAGGCAACCGCCTCTCTCGCTTATAGTCAGAACTGATATATCGTGGAGGGGACCATGATTCGAACTCTAGACTCTAATGTAATAGTAGATGCTATGTACCAATTCTCCTAGTGAGAGTCGGTAATGTATGTTAGTAATTAGTAAGAGTTTATTGGTTTTAATACTCCTGTAATATCGAATTGCTAAAAGAATCCACTAATTTTAGCAAAATCCCTCGTATAATGTATTTTTTTAAGCACATAACCCTTAACTGCACCGACATTAGACTGCTAACATTAATTAATAATACGTCGATATTTTTAATGTCGTACGTCGATATTCAACGTATTTTTAATACGTTGAATTAGAGCAACTCTAATAGTAGATATTACTGTATATATTAATATTAAATGATATATTTCAATAACAATTTAAGCTCTTGTGTCATTCAATATGGTATTAGAGGCCAAATGAAAAATTCCTGAATTCGAATCCCATAGCCACCCGTTTCAAATATTTCAAGTGTAAGACTTCAAATGTAATTCGCCTGCACATGAGACGGCGTATTGGAAATATTAATATCTTAAGCTTAATATTTTAATATTCATTTAAAAATGTACAACTCACCTATTTAATTAGTGCAATTAACCCTGAAAAAACTACTTTGTTTGCATTGTTTTTAATTATAAAAGTTGAGACAATGCATATCTTAAAAAATAATCTTTGGAATTGCCGATACTACACATGATCATTAAGGTTGAGGATGAGTTTTTTTCATTGCCGTTTCCCGTCCCTTTTGTTTTTAGAACTTTATTGCCGTTTCCTTTGTAAAAAGCTACAAGGACAAATTTGATTTGAGATTATTTTATTGAAATTATTTATTGACATTTACGTGGTGGATGTATCTATACGAAGAATAAAATTGGAGGGCACATTCCAATATTACAAGATATATATAGTCCGCTAATTCACTTCAATAGTCGAAAAAATGAAGAGGACGTGAAGAATAGAGATAAACTCTCGAAATAGCTGAGCCGGGAGTCCATTAGTGAAGATATCGGCAAAGTGATAGGCGGATGGGACATGTAAGACCCGAATGTGTCCCAAAACAACATTATCACGAAGAAAGTGGATATCAATTTCCACATATGTTTGGTTCGAGAATGTTAAATGGAATTGCTGGATAGCTAGACAACGCTCATGTTGTCACAATATATGATGGTGGCTTTTGGAGGAGGGCAGAGCAACTCGAAAAGAAGATTGTGTAACCATGTTGTTTCGGCGACGGTATTTGCGACAATTCGATATTCAGCCTTCACACTAGACCGAGAAGCAGTGATCTACCGTTTAGAAGACCAAGAGATCATGAGGTTGGTTGTCGAGGAAGATGTCATAGCCCGAAGTTGATCGGCGAGTATCGGATATTCAACCCCGATCGGCGTCGAAGTAAGCGACGAGGGATATATATAATTATAGAGTAGGAGAAATGACGAGACCATGGTCGAGAGTTCCACGAATATAGCGCATGGTACGCTTCAGAGCAGCCATATGCGGTTCCCTTAGATCGTGCATAAATAAACAAACTTGGTACCATGCTGGTATCGTTATGGAATAATATATAGTTTTCTTGATTATTTCTTGCAACTTCTACGTAGAAATTCTAACGATGCAAAGAGATCGTATCACACCTTCGAGAAGCGAACGGAGTTGTATACTCCATGTGAGATAATTGGTGGAAGTGAGTTTTGTAATATTCGAGAGATTGATAGTAATTAACAAGAGATTTTGTGGGTCCGGATTGATTTGAGGGGTGGTGGCTGCAGTAATGGAGGAAGAATTCTTAGCAATAGACATTGAAGATAATTGCAATTGCTTGATTTTTTGGTAACGAAGCAACCCGCAACCAACCATATAGGTGCACTTTGCAAAGAAGGTGTTTATCGTCCTCACTTTTTTCCATCAAAATTTCTCAAAGAACTCGTAATTCGTAACGCCGTTACGCATCACGGGATAGTTAATAACGTAACATATACTATTCTTACATTTCCACATAAATTAACACTGATTATAAGTCACCGTCCACCATCAAAATACAACATGAAATCAAATAAGATTTGAAAAGAAAAAAAGGGCTTTAGAAAACTTTAAATAAAATCCTAAAGGTAGCAAATATATATATTTGTGTTTTTTTCGTTTTCTTCTTAGGGTTCTTAATCATGACTATTAATTAGTCTTTGTAAGAGCTAGTGAAGAATGAACAGAAGATATTCCAGCGGCAATTCCTCCGACGAGAAGAAACGCCGATGGAATATATGCTATCGTCAGAAAGTCCTGCACTTTCGAATCATTTCCGTTACTATCCAATTTCTTCAGATCCATCGTCAACCCAAATGCTGCTCCGGCTCCCGTTGCTAGCAGAAACACAACTATCTAAAAAAAACGTAGCGCTCGATCGTTAGTTAGTTATGTTTTATTATATTGTTATTAATTAGCACTAGTAGAAAAATGGTTTTTTACTACGACCATTAACCATAGCAAAAGGTATAAATTCGTAGTAAAAAGGCTTTTGCTATGCATTTGCTACGAATTTTCCCTGTAGCATATACAGGCGTGACAAAAACTTTGCTACGGTAAAGGGCCGTACCAAATACTTTTTTTGCTACGGTAAATCCTAGTATTTACTACGACTTCAAAATTGATCCGTAGTAAAAAGTACCTTTTATTACGGTTTTTTTACCGTAGCAAAAAAAATCGTAGTAAAAATCAAATTTTCTACTAGTAGTGTAGTCGTTAAATTGAGATATACTTACCTTGTCTGCGTAGAAGTTAAACTTGAGGTAGCCAAAGCTACTTATGAGGTGTGTCTTTTGCTTCATGTAGTATATCGCCGATGGTAGTTGCAGTAAAGTATACACAATCCCAAATATTGTCACATAAAATGTGTACCTGAAAATCGAAAATACATATGAATATTGATTAGGGGTGGAAGTCGGACAAATTAGATCGAAATCAACATGCATTTTTTTTCGAAAGTGGAAAACTAATTCCTATTCCATTAAAAAATAATCAAAAATCGGAAATCTATCCCGATGTTCCAGTCACAAGGGTAAAAGAATCATGAGAGAAGGAACACAAAATTGGACACATGTAATGTATGGTTTCAATTCAAATAATTTGTAATTTTGGGAGAGACGAAGAACCCTATTTTTTCAATTATAATGTGTAATACGCGGGTTATATGAATGAGAATTTTGGTTGGGTATGACAGAAGTAGTATATATACCCTGAAATGACGCTAATCCCGTTTGAGTGGATGGAGTTTTGTCAATTCTTGTAAAAATACGTTGGAAGTTTGACTTTGGGCCAAAATGCAACAAAAATATATTTTGCAAGGCGGAATATCTCTTTTTATAATTTCTAGGGGGGAAAGTTCGAATTTTTAAATTTTCTCGGGGGTGAAGTGCAATTTGTCCTAAATTTAAAATACAAAAAATATTTTCCCAAATTAAAATTGGAATCTCATAACTATATATTTCAAATTTCCAATTACGATCGAAAAAAAATTTGGAATTCAGAACAAAAAATATTGTTCAAAAATGAGAAAATTTGTAATTGAAATTGGCGGAAATCGGTTCCGATTTCCACCCATAATACTGATCAGAGAGAGAGAGAAAGAGAGAGAGAGAGAGAGAGAGAGAGTTACTTGTAAGAGTGGAAAGTCTTGTAACTAAGGAAAGTGACATCATCAAAGCTGACAGTGTTAGTCTTGAGAACAGCAGCAGAAACTATGAGAGAAACCAAGGTCACTACTCTTGCTGTTAATGATGTTTTCGGAAACTTTGTACCATATTTATCAGATCCAACATCATCGTACTGAGAATTAATATGAGACATTTTCTGATTAATTAGTACGTAACTATATAATCTTAAACTTTACAAACAAATAGTACTATTTGCTTCTCTCTACATATAGATAATCCAAACCTATGTATTGTAGATACATATATAGGAAGCTAGAGACAATAGTTATGGAATGATTAATTAACGTTTCTTGGACAGCTATTTATTTATTTATTTGCATAAAATATTACACTACACATTGTCCATCCATTAAAGTACAAAGAGTAAAACACATTATATGATGATTTTCCAGCCTGATAGAGTAGATGACAAATTTGTTCTGCTCTAATTTTTCTACCCGCGCTTCCTAATTTGTCGTCAAGCTTTATTTATCATACTCGTTCTGTTCTATAATAACTTTCTTTTTAAAAAAATATTTTGTTCTATATTATCTGTCGCTTTAGATTTCAAATATTGCATTAACTCTCTCTCTATATTATAACATCATTAAATGATCAAGGTTATTTTAGTTTTTTTAATGCGTTTTTCCAAAAACCAAGACACATATTTTGAGATTCTTAATATTTGTGCAAAGCTAAAAACGACGGTAAAAACATCAATCAAGCTTATTTGTTTGGAGAAAAATAGTTTAAACAACAAACTAGAGTTAGAGTACTTTTATATAATTAAAATGGAAACTCAAAATAGTCCGCAGAAAAAATAAAAAAAATTATGATCAGCCGTCTTGGCGATTATATATATAAACTAGGAAAGTCAATTTCTGGCAAATGCGTACAATCTTATGCACGAAAAGGAATTAATTATCATTTAATAGTGATATCCACGTAATCATGGATGGCCTAATTTATTTTAGAGTTTTTAGCACTAACACCCCTTGTGTGATCTCTAATTGTCATAAACGTTTTTGTATTAAAAAATTAGCAGAGACCCCCTATAAAATTTAGTCAAACCCAATAAGGTGCCTGCAAGTTGATCGTACGATACGCCCGCCACAAATGCGATTGTGATTTGATTTTTTGACTTGAAAATACTGGAATACCTTTTAAATTAGAAATTTCCTAAATAATCCCCAAAATAAAATTTTCTACATTTTCGATTTAGTTCCTTCCATTTTCAAAAAGGCCCTCTTCTTCCTTAAGTAAGGACTAATTTGATTTTTTTCTAGAAATACACTGAACATAGCTGAGCCGCGACTCTCCTTCCGGCGAGCACCCTCTCCGAGCTCACCTCCCTCCATACCCTCAGCCTCCGCTTCAAGCCTTCAATCATATATCCCCTTCCGCCCCACCACTGCAACATTTTCTCAGACAAAATTCGGTTTTGGTTTGGAGCCTTTCCGCCCATATTTTGGAGCTTTTTCATCGCACCAAATTTAGGGGTTTGGTGGTCGGGGAGATGCGGGGGCTGAAACAAATAATTTTGGAGCAAGGGGAAGTATGTTTTGCAAAACACAACACATGGGGGTTATTGCTAATATTTTTAACATAGGACTTTTTCGGCAATTAAAAAAATCCCTCACACACCTTTCGTCGTAAAATGTTAAACTTGCAATTTAATTTCAAGAAATCACAAAAGATATGGATGGAACAAAGTTTCCTTGATATTGGAAACTGAGTATGCTTGGAGCATCAATAATTATCTGGGTTCCTTTGTGTCCAACACAATAGCAAACGTGCAAGTGTTCGAGACTTGGAAATTTACACGACGACAAGTAGCACAACGACGATATCACACCGCACAGAGATAAATCTCCGTGGAACCTAAGATTACCGTGACCAATTTCGACGGTTTCAAGAGACGGGGATACATTTCGATGCTACAACGCTCCTTGGTGAAGTTACACATAGTGCACCTATATGGTTGGCTGCGGGTTCCTTCGTTAAAAAATAAAATAAAATAAAATAAAATTGTTTTAACCTTACACATCCCTCGAGACACATAGTTTCAATTAGAATATTGATTTCCTTCTTTTGCGGTTGGCGGATTCCATCTTGATATTCTAAGTTGAGTTAATTGCAAAAAACACCCGAGCGAAAAACTTAATTGGCAATTAGGTCCTCCTGTTACAAAAATATGTGACAAATAATACCCTTGTGTAAAATTTTATGTAGCTCACTGCACCGTTGTGATTTTAGGCACTGACATAAGGTGAAACAACAAAAGATATACTTAGGGATTTTTTTTAGCAACTAGTAAAGAATATTCGATTTCAATTATTATGTATTTCTTTATTTATTATTATTTTTTTAAGAAACTCTGTAATTAATTAATTGGTGATACCAAATTTTATAAGGTGAGTTTATTACACTTTTGGTCCGTATACTATACATCCCATAGTAGGCCTAACTGTTGTAACATGACATGCAATTTGCAGGATTACGATCGTTTGAATAAATCGACGAAAAAGAAGAAAAAAACAGCTGAAAATACCCATGCTCGTGTATAAGATTTTCCACATCGACGTGCACTTTAATATTCAAGAAATCGAGTGTGAAACCAACAAAAATAAAGAGAGCGTACCCAGTACCCACTGTGCTGCTAAAAGCGATATTTCAGAACTCGTCCTAACTCAATAGATAGATAAAACGAAAAACGAAAAAACGAAAAAAGCAAAAAAAGAAGACTATAAATAATGCGAAAGTGATTCGTCTATAATTCCAACTTATGAATATTGGAACTGGACTCCGAAGCTCCACTTCATCTCGACAGAATGCAGATTCCACGGCCGATTCTAACGACGTTGCCCTATCAAGAGGAGTTTCGATCCTTAACTCCACCAATTCTTCCACTTTCTCGGTTTCTTTCAACGATCTCACTTAACGTAATTCTCTCCATTTCAATACGAAGCGAAGACCATTAAATTCGGTTTCTTGATAGTTTGGCAAATCTGACGGAGTTATCGGATGCCATCCTTCTCGATTCTTGTAAACTTCGATGACCACTTCCTCCAAATCTTGCAACCACAACCGTCTTAATTGATCATCGTCTTCGCCTCCACTTTCTCTCTCCGATAGAATCTTCCACACACACTCAATGTGATCCATCTTCCCTCGGAAGAACAACGTGTCGATGATTCTTGGACGACAAATACTAAAAGCACCATTTAAAAGAGATGAAAAGGAAAATAAATGACAATCCAAGCACAAGCTCTCCACCGCAACTGGTTTATTACAACCATTAATGCCTTGCAACAAATTAACGTTTCCTCGAATTACGTCCCCATCGTTCGTCGAATATTGATAAATACTAAGAGAAATTACGAATTGGCTTAACGACTTGAGCAATTCATTTAGCTTGAAGAACCACGTAGTCGCATCATCCGAATGCATATACCACACGCGTATGTTCGAATACCGCCTTCCGGGCGTAGTTGTTGCAAACGAGATAGATGGGATAAAGTCTCCCCAGTAATAAAACTTACGTATCCTCGGTGCGTCGATAAATATCCGCAATTCTTTCAGTCCGTTGCAACAGTCAATGTCCAACAACTGGAGGCTTGGGAATTTACACCACGATAACTGGTCCGACGATGTTGTCACACGGCGCAGATATAAATATTCTAGGTTACGAAAATCCGCTCCTTTGTGGAACTTGAGATCACCGTTATCAATATCGATGGTTTGAATAGACGACGGGGGATGTATTTCGATGCTGCAACGTTCGTCTTCTGTGGAGGGCATCTTATAAAAAGAAAATTTCTTGAGATTACGAAGACTATTATTAACCTTAATGTTTTGTAAACCCTTGCACGATTCGAGAGACGCAGTTTCGACGAGAGGACAACTCGAGATTATCCGCTGAAAATCCTTGTCGTTAATGTAGACGTTTTGGAGATGAAGTTCTTTCAGATGCTTAGAGAGTATTGTTCTTTTGTAAGACTTTTGGTCCGACGTTAATATTTTGACGCGCAAATCTTGGAGTGATTCGGCTACTTCAAAGACTACCGAGTGGAGATGGAAAAATCCCGAACCGTGTTCCAATTCCGAACGAATAGAAAGACAAAACTTCTTCGTACCCATATTCGTGAGTGCTCGGATCCAATTTTCGAGACGCGAAACCGATTCGCGATCGGATTCATCTAACGATATGCAAAGACCAAACTCCTCTATGCGCACCCTTTGATCACAGTGTCGCTGTAAATTCTTGTCCACAAGGGATAGAAATTCTTGTTTGCTACCTTTGAAGGTGGCGTCTGAAAAATCGAGATTTGGACGAGTACACCAAATATTACGCCATGATTTCGACAAGACAGATGTTCGGACAATCTTCTTGGGAGAGGAAATACAGTATTTGCTGTAAGATCTCTTGCGGCAACTCGGATATTCTGTCCATGGAGTTGGAATCTAATAAACCCTAAATTTATTTTCGTCAATTAATAAAACATGGGTTCTAACTTACATATACTACGATTAGTTTCAAGCACTTACAACTCTATGAGAGCTAGAATTACAATATTGATTTCCTTCCTTGCGGCTTGTAGCATATTTAGAGTATAATTACTATTTTGGTACTTATATTATACATCTTTTTCGATTTTGGTCCTTCAATTTTTCTTGTGGTATAAAATTGGTCTTCAAATAACTAGTTTTTTTATAATTTTCGTCAACCGTCTCATTTTCGTGTTAACTTGGGCAGGATAAACGAGCTAATAGCACATACCTCCCCTGTGTTTTCTCTATTGCCAAAAAACGCTAAGCATTTGCAGCAAAACCCAAAGTCTGAAAGTGTCGCCGCACGCCGCACTTCGGTGTTCATGCATAACATCTCGCCGCAATCAAAGTGGTGCCGTCTGGTTGGTCCGGAAAACATCTGCCTTGTTCGAACCTATTTCGAGCCAGACTACCACCCTTATATTTCACCGGAATCGAAGTTGCACGGCTCGATTTGGCGGAAAAATGTATGCCCTCGTTAAATCTACATTGAACCAGCCCTATAGCCAAAATTTTCGCAAATTAAAACTGGATACGAAATCGGAATCTCATATCTATATATTCCAATTACGATCTAAAAAAAAATCAAAAGAATTTGGAATT